GCATTCTCGGACGCGAGCTTCGCTCAGGAGCAGGGTTTCAGAAGCCAGCAGGGCAGGCTGCATTACATCACGACGCAGAGCGCATCAGACTCCAATGTGCATGTAGCCCATGTCTTGAGCTACGGATCCACCACAATCAAGCGGGTGTGCCGAAGCACTTTGGCGTCAGAGACATTCGCGATGCAGACGGAGACCGTCTGAGGGCAATCATTTGCGAACTACGTGGCCAGTTGCCTTCGTTAAAGGGCTGGTTGGAGGAATCGCAAAGGAAAATGGGGCATCTGTGGATTACGGACTGTCGGAGCCTCAGCGACCATTTAAACAGTGTCCAGATCAACAAAGTGGCGGATAAACGGCTCGCCATAGAGCTATCGGCCATCAGACAACAGTTATGGATCGAGGAGGCTGAGTCCTGGAAAGTGCTGTCGCCGTGTGGCGACAAATTGCGCTGGACTGACACAGCGACGCAGCTCGCTGATGCATTGACAAAGTCGCTCAAGCCGTACCAGCTTTTCAAGCTTATGGAGGATGCCACAGTCCAGCTCTCAGACCCGACGCGCAAGCTGTCAAAGGTCGAAGTTGCATGGTGCACAGCAGAATACGAGGAATTGTGAGCTAGTAGTTACCGGAAATAGCAGTCTGGTAGAAAGCGCAATGTACAGATTTTGATTTGGAAGGCTCAGCACCATCACAAAGTGATCGGGCCCAGCACGCATCAGTAAGTAAGACGGGTGAGAAATCTACCCCGTAATCTACATGTATAGTCTGAGTGCGTGCTTTCAGTCATGTGTTGAACTTGGCAGGCGGCTTCTGTATAGCTGTAAATGTTTCCGCCGTCGCCGTTATGACTCAGAAGGGCCCTTGAGCTAGAGTGCAAAAATAGCTGAGCCATTGCGTTTCAGATTCAAACATGTTCAAGTAAGTGTGGGAAGAAGTCCGCTGATTAGACGGGGGGGATCTCTGAACACAAGCCCGTGTGGATAGGCCAGTCTGTGTTGGCATATGCTAATAACGTTGGGAGGACCCCATCGGGCAGACACGGCTGTCGCAAGTGCACGTGTATAGGAGGCTATTCGCAAAGGCAGCGGTGGGAATGAATCCGCTGATCCGATGCGGATAGTGCGTTGCGTTGCGTGTTCTAGCTCTCTCGTTAACCAATAAGGGACCGGCGGACCTTATTGTAAGAACAAGTGCGTGTGCAGCGCACAGGCAAAGTCAGGGGTGGGAAGGACACTGCTCATCCAGGGGGCGGGGGTGTGCGGCTTAAACCGGGTTTACTGGGAAGCTGGCTGTTGTACTGTGGAGAGGAAATGATGCTCCAAATCCCTATTATATACAGAGGAGTTAGCTTCCAAATAAACCTATTGGTGTTGCCTGGGGTGGTCGGGGCAGGCAATAAGATAATTTTCATATTTTAAATATTTGGGCGACCCCGCACCCACCCCCGCTAAAATTCCCAGCCCGAAAAAAGTAATTTAAATAGTTTATAAATATTCAGGTTATTCCCTGTCCACGCTAACTTCCCAGGTCTCTGGGACCCCCCGTGCCAATAGTTACATTATATTTACTATATTTGTTTACATTATTTAGTTCCCGGCCCGAGTCCAAAATTTAAGTTTGGAGGGTGCCTTGCAGATTTCAATTATTTGAATTGGTTAATTCCCGGTCCGCGCTAGCCTCCCAGGGCCCGGCACCCCTGTCTGAAATATTTACACTATTTAGTTCCCGGCTTGAATTACACAGATTTATTTTTATTGAATTTGGAGCCGTCCTCCAGGTTTACATTGTCTAATTCGGGCCGGGAACTAAATATCTTAAATACTTCAGCTAGTTTTAACATTAGAAAGGGGGGTTCTGGAACCTTGGAAGGTTATCGCGGACCTTGTACGAAAGAAAGAAAATCTGGAGGCAGCCGCAATAGTTAGATTAAGGTTTCTTGTTTCAATGAAAGACTTGAAATCTGGAGGCCTCCTCCAGAATTGAATTATTTCATTCGGGCCGGGAGCTAAGCATTACTTTAAATCATTCCACTGCCCCCCTGCCCCTCTGCACTTCTGCCCCCCTGTTCTTTCAGCCAGTGCCCCCTCCCCTGCCACCCCCTGCCCCTCCCCCTGCCCCCTGCCCCCTTTTCTTTTTTTCAGCGACACACAACAGCACCACTTTTTCTGTCTATGCCGGGGCCCGGCCCCTTCTGGTTTCACGAATCCTCCGCCAATCAGGACATGCGACTTTGTGACCCATTCTGTGGCCCCGGTGCCGAACATAAAAGCAGCACTTTGTCAGTGTATGCTGTGGCCACCTTCTTTTTCCTCTAGAACATGAGTGGCACTCCTTATGGTTGAAGGTTTTCTAAAGAAACATCGCCAGAAAAGACGAAGGGATGAGAAGGGCATTCCCTGTACGTGCCATTTTCAGAGCATCAGCGCAATATCCCGATGATGGGGACACTCCTTGCGATTCAAGGTTATCTAGAGCATCATCGCCAGAAAACATGAGGTCTGAAGGGGGCACTCCTTGCAATTGAAACTTTTCCAAAGATCGCCAGATAAGATGAGAGAGGCAGCCTTTGCAAGTGAAGGTTTTCCAGAGCACCCTCACCCAATCTTTCGAAACAAACTGTTAACCCTCTAGTCTCTATTATTTTGGGTTTAAGTCATTCTCCAAAATGACAAAGAGCAAGCCTTGGTCCCCAAGACCTTGGATGTAAGCTCACCCCTTACGGACCTGGACTTGCGATGTTTCCCTTCGGAAGAAAACTCGGGCCAGAGATTTTAAGGACCGGGACTTGCGAAGTGTTTGTTTAAGGCTCTGGAGAACGCGGACCAGAGCATGCGGGCGAGGGAAACACTACTGGCGTTTGAAGGTTTTCCAGAACATCATCACCAGCAAAGATATGGGGGACACTCTTTGCGATCTACTTTTTCTCGCCAGAACGGATGAAGGGATAAGGGCGGGTGGGCACTCCTTGCGATGCAAGGTTGGGCGGGGCACTTCTTGCGATTGAAGGTTTTCTGAAGCATCATCGCCTGGAAAGATGAAGAGATGAAGGGGGCACTCCTCGCAGTTGACGGTTTTCCAGAGCTCAGCAGGAGGCCATTCGCAAAGGCAAGGGTGGGATTGAATCCGTTGAGCCGATGCGGGTAGTGCGGTACGTGGTCTGGGTTTCCGGTCAACCTCAGTGGCTTCCCGAGGCATCAGCAGACACGGCGCGGCAGTGAAGTGCGTGAGCAGCGGTCAGGTCTGGGCCAGTTAGCCTAGTACTGGCTCCCCAAAAAACCCACTGGGCAGACACGGCTGTGAGTGGAAGCGCGTGTGCCGAAACGGCGTGTGGTGCAGACGTCGCAACTGATGAGACGGGCGGGCTGTTGGTGCAAGCCCACCTGGATATGGTGGTATGTGGCTGCGCATGCTAGTGTAGAACTGGCCTCCATGTAAGGAACCCACTGGGCAGACACGACTCTGAGTGCAAGTGCGTGCATAGGAGCATACATGTTGGGGCACAGATGGAGAAATCCGCTGATCAGACGGCCGGGCTGTGAACGCAAGATAACGCAAGACCATGTGGATATGACAGGTTGTGTTGACGTATGCTACGACCGCTTTGAAAGGAACCCAGTGGGCAGACACGCCTGTGAGGTTTCGTCAAAGATGATCTGGCAAAGGCGACGGTGTGGGAAGGAATCCACTGATCAGACGTGGGGACTTGTGAACACGAGCGCGTGTGATACGCCCGTCTGTGTTGACGTTTGTGTGGCCGTATGCTACCAACGGCCTCCCAAGTTCCAAAGAACCCACGTGGTCTGGGTTTCCGGTAAGCCACATGTGGCTTCTCGAGGCATCAGCAGCCACGGCGCGGCAGTGAAGTGCGTGAGCAGCGGTCAGGTCTCGCAAAGGCAAGGGTGTGAAGGACCTCACTCTCATCTGCGGGGGGTGGGAGTATTGGGGCTGACATGCGTAAGGACGAGGGCGGAGATGAAGTTCTCAAGGTTTTGGGGCTCGAATGTCTTGGGTCCCCCAGGCGCTTAGCTTCGTCTTGGCTGGTTCGCAGACGGGGTGGTGGGGTTTAGGCTGCCCGGCACATTGTTCCGGCTCCCTGGTACTCCCTCTTGTCTGCTTCCTCGCTGGCCTTGGATTTGGCGCTCTGGGGTGCCTTTTTGTCTTTCGAGGCTATCTCCTGGGTCCGGGCCCTTCGCCTCCGACCGCTCGAGCTGCTCGGGCTCCGCCCCCTCCTTCTTCTGCCTCCCTCCGTCTTCGGGGGTACCTGCATGAGTGAGGGCGACCCTCCTTCTCTGGATTTGGAGGCTCTTTCAGAAGCCCTTTCCCAACTGCAGAAAGCCACCGGTGTGCTCACTCGGGTCTTGCCATGTGGCAGGTCGACTTCCCATCAAGACGACTGGGTGCTGGTCCAGGATCCTCCTGCGGAGCCTGCTGCTTCCGGCCAAACTCACCCGAACCCCCCTAGTGGTTCTAGGCCCTCTACTCGGATTGCTAGTGCTGGTTCCCCTGCCTCGGAGCTTCTGTTCGCAGAGCTCGGGCCGAGCGAGCTTGGACTGCAGGCCTGCGCGCCGGCAGGGTTTTGCGTGGGGAAGCCGACGTGGTGCCTCCGACTCGAGATCACGATCAAAAATAGTGCTACCTTGTCCTTTGCACCTCCTCGGACCGTCGGGTCCTTTTCTTCAGGAGCTTCGCTTCTTTCAAAGCCCACATGGGCAGGCTCTCTTCTGGAACCGTCTGCCACGGCTTCCCCACACAGCGAGAGGCCAGGGAAAACGCGAGGGCGGCCGGTGCTGCCTTCCTCGAGACCTCGATACCATGAGTTCTTCAGATTTGGTTTTTGCCTCACAGGGCCTGCTGACTCCCTACGTGTGCCGGGCTCCCGTGGCAGGTGTTCCCAGAGACCGGGGTGCATCCGTGCTGTGCGCTCCTCTCCTTTGCCGGCCGGAAATTTCTTGCTGGCCCTTCCTACGGGCTCTGTTCCTCCGAACCTTGTGGCCTCCGGCATGGAGGAAAGCCCCACGGGCATGCGCGGGCCATCGACAGTGTCGGAGGTGGCGGCGGTCGAAGACAACGAGGAGGAGGGAGAGGAAGAAGCTTCCCCGGACTCCTTGTCGGTTCTTGTCATGGACCTGGACGAATGCAGGCGCCTTCCTCCGCCTTACGACCCTGCCTCCTCAGGCCCCGGAGACTCAGCAGTTACTGGTTGCCGCCCGAATAAGAGGGTCACGACAGCCCACCTTGCAGGCCAGATCGGCCAGCTGCTCAAAGCGCTGCCCCGGCTAACTGCGCAATTGGAGCACTTGGGCTCCCGACAGCAGGCCTTGGAGGATCGAGTGGGGTCAAAAGGCCTCCCAGCCCGCCGAAGCCAAAGACTGCAGAGCCTGGGAATAGGCGACTTGGTGCCGGAGCAGACGCTTCTCGAGGAGGCTCTGGCGCAGCAGGGGACGGCCCTCACGATGCTGGTGTCGCACTTGATAAACCAGGCCTCCGAGGCCTCCGCCGACTTCGGGACTGGGCTGGGTGGCTCGTCCGGCCTCTCATCCAAGGGCACCGCCAGGCGAGAGCGTATGCAAAACGAGCTGGCATCCCACTCGGGCGGCTTCATGGTAGCCGTGACCGCTTTTCGGAGGATGCACCCGGCTACACAGACTCCGAAGACCCTCGAGGAGTTCCGTGCCGCGCCTCAGCCTCTGAGGTTCCAGGACTACATAGAGCGCTATGGCAGCAGCGGGAGCTAGGCTTGATAGCCTTCATGGTCTCCCAGATCACGGACCTGCTCATGGCAGGACACACGGAGGGGGCGCTGGACCATCTTGCGCTTCTCCTGGTGGCTTTGGAGCAAGCCTCCCAAGATGGAGGCAAATGGGAGATAGCATATGCTCTATCCCTCTATCCGGATCCGCCTTCTACGGTTTTTCAAAACCGGCCCGCCCCACACAACACACGCCTAAAGGCGTGGGCGCCGCTGTGTCCAGCACCCTGGGCGACCACAACGTTGACCTATTTGAAGGAGGCGGACGCCATTTTGGCGAGGAGGACCGATGCTTCCTCTTCTTCGACTCGCCACCCGGATGGGACCAACAAGGAGGAGGCCCCCAAGAAGGCTCCCCGGAAACCCAGGTTTCCCCGTGCGCTTTGTGGTTCCCTAGTCCCCCCGCCTGCCGTGTCGTGTGGCGTGGGCCCTCTGTGGCACGCCCCTGCTTTGATGCCTTCCGGCTTCCGCAAGGAGGTACTCAACCATGGGCCTCCTATCAATCACGGTTTGAAGCTGCCAGCCGCCTTTCTTGAGGGCCCCGGCCCTTCGACCCCAAATCCACACTGCATGCCTTTTGTGGCTCCTGTGCCTGGGCCCTTTGCTGCCCTGCCGGACCACACCACAGCGGCCTGGCCGTGCCGAACCCCTTCCTGACCCTAAGCCCCCTAGGCGTAATAGTGTCAGGGTTTCTCCTAAGGTCGCGCCTGCTGCAGCTCACTCAGCTTGCGCTTCGTCGGCCGGTCTGCTCTTTGCTGCCCTGCCGGGCCAATGCACCACGAAACAGGCCCTGGCCGTGCCGAACCCTTTCCTGACCCTAAGCCCCCTAGGCGTAATAGTCCCGGGGTTTCGCCTATAAGGTCGCGTCGGCTGCAACTCAGCCAGCTAGCGCTTCGTCGGCCGGTCTGCCTTTTGTCCGCTGGGCTCTGTCTTTTGCTTTCCGCGTCCTTCGGGTGCGCTCGCCTTTCTCTTCTTTTCTATCTTCTCTTTTGCACCTGCAGCCGGTTGAGACACACTCTCCGGTCAGCTCCCTCTTCCCGCTGCCGTGGCCGTACTTCAACGTGTTCCGGCCCTGCCCTCATCTTGGTCCCCGTGCTCGCGCTCGGGTGGGGATCCGACGCCTCACCTGCGCCGTTGTTGCTGCCCTGAACTTCGTGCACTCCGGAGGCTCCTTTGCCGTCCGCGACCAGATGAGGAGACTCCCCAATGCTGCCCAGGCAAAGTCACTCAGGTACATTGAGGGGTTAGTGAGGAGCTGTGGTTCCGTGGGGGCCATTGATGTGGTCGCCGCGACTCGCCGAACCTCTGAATTAGTTGCGCGTCTAGGCGAGGTGACTGAACACGTTACCCGCGCCGCACCGGGCTGTGATCCCTGTGGTCCTGCCTTCCCCGGCATTGCTATGAGCTCTGAAGACCAGGCCAAAGCATTGGAGCCCTACCGCTGCCTTGACCCTGGCCGGCTCAAACTTAGTGGTCGGGGCCAATGGGATCCCACGCCCTACCTGGACGATGCGCTGTACCTTGCGTTTCGTGAGCCCCAGAGCCTGCTGCTGCCAGCCCCGGGTCGCCCCGGCAAAGGTGACGTGCCCGACCTTGGGCGTGAGAGCGGTGATGCCGTGCTCCAGCTCGCTCTGTTGTGGGACCGGAATGACCTTCTTTTGTCCCAGGAGGGCCCTCCGGCAGAGAGGCCTTACGAAGGCGTCAGAGTTTTTAATGCTCTGAAAGACGCCCACACAGATCGTCAGATAGCTGACCGTCGTGGCAGAAATTGGGTCGAAGGTACCATCCCGACACCTTCGAAACACATCCCGCTTGGCACGGCTCTGCTCTCACTTGAGCTTAAGCCCGAGTCTGAGACGTTCTCGATCAATGTCACAGATCGCAAGGATTACTTCCATCAACTTAGGGCTCCGGCTCAGCGGTCTCTTCGGTCCCTGCTGATCCCTCCTCTCGAGACGAGCAGGCTTGCTGATACCCGAGCCTTTGCTAGGTTCCTTGCTTCTCGATCTTCTGGCCCCGTTCCAAGCGAACTCTTTGCATGCTTTGGAGCAGTACTGCAAGGGGATGCCCTGGGGGTAGAGATCGCGACTTCCTCCCACGCCAACTTGTTGCGAGGAGAGGGTTTGCTCACTGAGGGGTCTAGGATCCTTGGAGCCGAGCCTTTCCCAACAGGGGACGGAGAAGAGAGGTTGGTCTCCGGCCTTGTCATAGACGACTTCTTCTCCATCTCCGCTCGGCCGCTCCCTGCTTCGGGTTTGTCAGCCGGCACCCGGGCCCTCTTTGAGGCAAAGCGTGTCTACAAGGCCCATGGCATTGAGGGCTCTGATGCCAAGGACATCATAGACTCATAGACTCTGAAAAGGCTGCCTGTGCCGGAGCCAGGTTGATGCCTCGCCCGCGACTCGGGGCCTCGGCCTTTGCCTGGTTGGCCCTTCTGCCCAGAAGCGTCTGCCTTCAGGCCTGCTGTACCGCAGACCGATCATGGTGTGCCTCGAGAAGACCTTCTCCCTTGTCGATGCTGCGACAATCGACCAAAAGAGGTCGCGGGTCATCCCGCTCCCGCGCGCGGTGAGAAACGAGTTCAGCCTGCTCGCTACCCTCTCCCACATCATGGTTTCGGATGTTGCGGCTCCTTGGGCTTCCGAGGTCTACGCCGCAGACGCTTCAGAGCAGGCTGGGGCTTTCGTCAAAGCGGCTGCCTCCCCTGAGCTCACCCGCCGGCTGTGGACCGCGACCACCAGCACTGCGGCTGCCACCAGGCTCCTGACCAAGGAAAAGGCCGCCCTCCGCCGTGTTGACCCAATGCTTGAGGAGCTCCCCGAGGATCCACTGCAGCTTGGGATGTGTTGGCAGAAGTGGCCTCCCGCTCTTCGTTTTCACGCCTTGCTGGTTGGAAGAGGTTTTGAGCCACTCCTCGATGACCTTGCAGTGCGCGGCTGGCGCGTTGGGCCTGTTCTTGCGTGGGACCAGTCACCTGAGTATGACCTTGGCCGGTTGCGTTTCCTTCAGTGGGTGATTTTCCTGCTCGAGTCCGGCCACCTTCACCTGTTGCTGCTGGGCCCCCCGGGTGCTACTTTCTCGCCGTTGGCCCAGCCTTCCTGCCGATCGTTCAGACAGCCCCTTGGTTTCCTGCCCTCTTTCGTGTGTGCTTGCGCCTTTCGGTGCCCTGCCTCCTTGGCTGCGCCCACAGCTCTCTCATGCTTCGGTTGCCTGCTTGGAAGACAGCAAAGGCGCTTGGAGGTGTTCTGCACTTCGCGGCCCGAGGCCTTGAGTTCGGGAACCTCGCGGGTTCCGCCGAGATCCTTGCTGCTCCTGCCTTCTTCTCTGGCGCGGGCACCTCCCCGAAGGATGGTCGGATCCCTCCCCTCGAGTTCCCAGCCCTTGCAGCTGTTGCCTCGGAGGCGATTTCGGCTCGGATAAAGCTGATTGATTTGCTTGACCCTCCGACCTCTGGACTTGAATCCGTCGGGGTCAATGACCTTGCTGTCAGCCTGCCTTGGAGGAAGTGGCGTTCGTGGAAGTGGGCTAGGCCCGTGCACATTAACTTGCTGGAGACGGCTGTCTTTTACCGGCTCTGCTGCCACCGAGCCAGGTCTGTGCCCGGACCCCTTCGCTTCTGTTCGCTGATCGACAGCAATGTCTCCAGGGGTGCGGTGACCAAAGGCCGGACTCCTTCCAGGGCTCTAACCCGAGGCCTCCGGCGCATAGCTGCTGTGCAGCTCGCTTTTGGACTTTATGCTCAGCTCCCTTTCTGCCCCACACGGTTGATGCCGGCCGATCATCCCAGCCGAGGTGCTGACATTCCCTCACCTGAGGTTTCGCTGCAGCTCCCGTCCTGGTCTCCCACCATTACACGCGAGCTCCTCCGACTCCCCCGCTTGAGGAGGTGGGCTGCAAACTGGGCTCGACTTCTGCTCAGGCTCGTTGACTTCGCTGCCCTGCGCCACCCCGACAGGCGTGATGCCCTCCGCTCTTTCCGCACCTACGTGCCTTCGGCCTTGGACTTTGGCTCTACTCTCGGCTTCCCAGGCGAGGGACCTCACCTGCTCTTCTTCCGGACTCTGTGCTTTGGGCTTGCCGGGGTTTGGTTTCAGGGCTTCGGGGCAGCCGTAGCTGTGAGCCATGGCCTTCGCCCGAGGAACGCTGGAGACGAGGCTCGGAGAGCCCTGAGAGCTGACGCTGAGTTGCCAATTGGGCGGGCCGTTGAGCCGAAGACACAGCAGCGGAGAGACGCACTTTGGGACTGTTTTCTGGGCTGGCTGCGGAACACAGGCATCGCTGAAGAGCTGTTTGTTGATACCAGTGGATGGGTCGATGTTGACACCATCAACGTCGTAGCCGGTATGGTAGGGAGCTGTATGCGGCGGGACGACCCTACTCCCACTACGCTGAGACCATCAACAGCTTATCTTCTCGGATCCCAAAACTGCGGAGAGTTCTTCAGCCGGCTTGGGACACAGCTTTTGCATGGCGACGCGCTGAACCCGGGGTTCATCACGTCGCCATGCCGTGGCAGGTGCTTTTGTCCTGTATCTGCATAGCTTTCCTTTGGGGGTGGCCAAGGGTCGCCTCTATACTAGTATTGGCCTGGGGAGGAATGCTACGTATTGGCGAAGTTCTGCAGTCTACAAGGTCTCACCTCCTTTTACCAGAGGACACAGACCATACCATCGACTACGCCCTCTTCTCTATTGACGAGCCAAAAACCCGCTTCAGGGCCGCGAGACACCAGAGCGTCAAGGTCGACCAGCCCGACCTACTTAGCGTGATTGCCCTCGGCCTCAAAGACCTTGCTGCCTGCGAACGGCTCTGGCCGCATTCTGGGCAGACTTTGCGAACCAGGTTTCGGCAAATCTGTGCGGCCCTCGGGCTACCCACTGCCCCCAATGCAGGGCGCCCTTACCTTGAGTTGGCGTCTTTGAGAGCAGGCGGCGCGACTTGGCTCATGATCGTCACGGAGAACGCTGACTTAGTCAGAAGGCGTGGGCGGTGGTTGACCCACCGCATCTGCGAGATCTACGTCCAGGAGGTCTCGTCGGTGCAATTTTTACCCAGCCTGGAGAATGATACTAGAGCAAAAGTGATGCAGGCTCTGAAAGGCTTCCCGGAGCTCCTTGATCAGGCCCAGTCGCTCGCTTCGCTCCGTATCCCGCCAGGCTTGTGGTATTCTTTCTTCTCTGCGGGCAAGCAGCCTTCTCGAACTTACAACGGGGGGACTGGGTGAGCAGATTGGGACTTGTTTTCTCCTTCCGGCTTACGCCGATGTACATGTGATCCATCCTTGCGTGGGTGCAAAAGAGGCTGGCACACACGCTTTAATGAATCGCAGTACGAGTCCTTGACATGCATAAGGACGAGGGCGGAGATGAAGTTCTCAAGGCTTCCCGCCACGCCCACCCGCTCCCCGCAGAGTGGGACTTGTTTTCTCCTTCCGGCTTACGCCGATGTACATGTGATCCATCCTTGCGTGGGTGCAAAAGAGGCTGGCACACACGCTTTAATGAATCGCAGTACGAGTCCTTAGTTAGCCTCGTACTGGCTTCCCTGAGTGGAAGCGCGTGTGCCGAAACGGTGTGCGGTGCAGATTACGCAGCTGATGAGACGGGCGGGCTGTTGGTGCAAGCCCACCTGGATATGGTGGTACGTGGTTGCGTATGCTAGTGTAGTACTGGATCCCATGTAAGCAACCCACTGGGCAGACGCGACTGAGTGCAAGTGCGTGCATAGGAGCATACATGTTGGGGCACAGATGGAGAAATCCGCTGATCAGACGGCCGGGCTGTGAACGCAAGATAACGCAAGCCCATGTGGATATGACAGGTTGTTTTGACGTATGCTACGACCGCTCTGAAAGGAACCCAGTGGGCAGACACGCCTGTGAGGTTTCGTCAAAGATGATCTGGCAAAGGCGACGGTGTGGGAAGGAATCCACTGATCAGACGTGGGGACTTGTGAACACGAGCGCGGGTGATACGCCCGTCTGTGTTGACGTTTGTGTGGCCGTATGCTACTAACGGCCTCCCAAGTTCCAAAGAACCCACTGGGCAGACAAAGCTGTGAGCGCAAGTGCGTGTGTGTAGGAGGCCATTCGCAAAGGCAAGCGTGGGATTGAATCCGTTGAGCCGATGCGGGTAGTGCGGTATGTGGTCTGGGTTTCCGGTAAACCACAGTGGCTTCCCGAGGCATCAGCAGCCACGGCGTGGCAGTGAAGTGCGTGAGCAGCGGTCAGGTCTCGCAACAAAGGCAAGGGTGTGAAGGACATCACTCTCATCTTCTGGGGGTGGGAGTATTTGCTAGTTAGCCTAGTACTGGCTCCCCAAAAAACCCACTGGGCAGACACGGCTGTGAGTGGAAGCGCGTGTGCCGAAACGGCGTGTGGTGCAGACGTCGCAACTGATGAGACGGGCGGGCTGTTGGTGCAAGCCCACCTGGATATGGTGGTACGTGGTTGCGTATGCTAGTCTAGTACTGGCCTCCCATGTAAGGAACCCACTGGGCAGACACGACTCTGAGTGCAAGTGCGTGCATAGGAGCGTACATGCTGGGGTACAGATTGAGAAATCCGCTGATCAGACGGCCGGGCTGAGAACACAAGCCCATGTGGATATGACAGGGTGTGTTGACGTATGCTACGACCGCTTTGAAAGGAACCCAGTGGGCAGACACGCCTGTGAGGTTTCGTTACAGATGATCTGGCAAAGGCGACAACGTGGGAAGGAACCGGCTGTTCAGGCGGGGGGCCCGTGCGGTCCGTGCGGATGGTGGTACGTGTTCTAGAGTCTAGAAGTCCCGTACGCCGGTACCTTCCCCAAGGAACCGGCAAACACTGCTGTGAGCGCATCGTGTTATCGTATTCTAGTACTGGCTTCACGAGGCATCCATTGGCACGGCGGAATCCGCTGATCAGAAGTGGGGACTTGAGAACACGAGCGTGTGTGATACGCCAGTCTGTGCTGACGTTTGTGTGGCCGCATACTACCAACGGCCTCCCAAGTTCCAAAGAACCACCAGTGGGCAGACATGGCTGTGAGCGCAAGTGCGTGTGTGTAGGAGGCCATTCCCAAAGGCAAGGGTGCGTGGTCTGGGTTTCCGGTAAAGCATCAGCAGACACGGCGCGGCAGTGAAGTGCGTGAGCAGCCGTCAGGTCTCGCAAAAGCAAAGGCGTGAAGGACATCATTCTCATCTGCGCGGGGTGGGAGTATTGGGGCTAGTTAGCCTAGTACTGGCTGCTGGTTCCCCAAAAGCCCACTGGGCAGACACGGCTGTGAGTGGAAGCGCGTGAGCCGAAACGGCGTGTGATGCAGATTACGCAACTGATGAGACGGGCGGGCTGTTGGTGCAAGCCCACCTGGATATGGTGGTACGTGGTTGCGTATGCTAGTATATTAATTACTGGCTTCCCATGTAAGGAGCCCACTGGGCGGACACGACTCTGAGTGCAAGTGCGTGCATAGGAGCGTACATGTTGGTGTACAGATTGAGACATCCGCTGATCAGACGGCCGGGCTGTGAACACAAGCCCATGTAGATATGACAGGTTGTGTTGACGTATGCTACGACCGCTCTGAAAGGAACCCAGTGGGCAGACACGCCTGTGAGGTTTCGTTACAGATGATCTGGCAAAGGCGACGGTGTGGGAAGGAATCGGCTGATCAGGCGGGGGGCCCGTGAGCGCAAGCCCACAAATTAAAAAGAGTATACCCCGACCGTGACCGAAACCCTAAAAAACGAAGTCCCAATCCCTAAAAGGAATAACCGGAGCCCGAAACCCGAAAAAGGAGTAAACCCAGGCCGAAGCCTTAACAGGAGTAAGCCTTTGAGTAAGCCCAGTCCGAAACCCGAATCCCTAAAAGGAATAAACGGAGCGCGAAACCCTAAAAGTAGTAAACCCAGGACGAAGGCGGAAAAGGAGTAAACCCAGACCGAAACCCGAATGAAAGAACACAGGAATAAACCCAGGCCGACGCCTCAAAAAGGGCAAACCCAGACCGAAACCTTAAGATGAGAAGGCCCGATCCATAAAAAACGTAAAGGGCCCCGGAACCCCAAAAAGAGCAAACCCAAAGGCCGAAGCCCCAAAAGGACTAAATCCAGACTGAATCCGTAATGGCAGAAGGCCCAAAGCGAAAGTGGAGTAAACCGTCCCCGATATTTTGAAAGAAGCGAAAGGTACGCCTGAAAGGAAGGCGAAACCTTAAAAACGATCAAACCCAGGCCGAAGCCCTAAACGGAGTAAACCCAGACCGAAACCCTAATGGAACAAGGCCAAAACGAAAACAGTGAGGGCCCCAGATTCTAAACCCGTGAATTTCAGGATTCCACTTTTCGTGCGCCACGCCCTGAAAGCTTGGAAGGAACATCAGTCAGCCAGCCCCCAGCTATTCAGGTTATGGGCATGGTACTAGAAGCCTGGTTCGAGTCTTGTTACCTGAGAAATGCCTGTGCCGCGTGACAAGGGCTATGACACCAAACATTCCTAGACTTCGGTCTTCTTCGAGGAGCAACTGTAACTCAACTAAGGTCGAAACACAGGGGGATTCCATAAAGAAGGTTTGTGACAAAACGCATGCAGAGAAGTTCGCACAATTTTGTGAGCACTTCTGCTCAGACGGGCTCGCCACAAATTGGCTCACCGATGGTCGCACACAGTCTCAGCGGGTGACTCAGACAAGGAATGGCCGTACGGCCGTACTGAAGCAGTTCCACAGTGCCACAGGGAGAAGACGGCCAATGGCTAGGAATGCTTAGTGAAGGGCCGCAGAACATGTTGTTGCGGCTGTGCGGCGCAACACGCATTCTGAGGCCCCGTAAGCCGAAGTGTCCGGGCAATCGCTGGTCAAGGTGTCCTGAAGTGTCCCAAAGAGACAGAGACATGGGTCTCTTGCCTTGCCTTTCCTTGCCTTGCACTCTTCTACCAGGAGCTCCAGGAGTCGCGACCGTCCGAAGCATCGCCAGCTGCCCTGTGCGGGACTTGGATGTCATTTGAAAGAAATGCCGGTCGTGGTTCTCAGCCGTCCTGCGCCGAGGTCCGCATGGTGCGTACGGCAGTGCGCAGTGTGTGCAATTCAACGCCGGCGAAGGGTGCCATCTGGCTGCAGGCTCGTTTCACCCTCGCCCATGCTCAAAATCCACCAGCATCGCCAAGGCTAGTAGATAAGATCTTGTGAGCTGAATTAGTCAGAGGCCCGCAGGGAGCTACATCATGTGACACGCTTTGGTGCCAGTTCGAATCTCATCGGAGAAACAGAGATTTCCCAGGGTCAGCGCCATGCAGATTTGATTCTCTGCATGTGGCCAAGAATGCGTGGTGGTTCTGTGAGCAAATCGAGGGTTCCGAATTACGAGAGAAAGAGCAGACTGGGAATGTCATTTGGATCCCCTAAACTTCGAATGCCTGAAAGCCGGTGCGGATCATCAGGCAGCTGTACTTCACTTGAACTGTGGAGCTGCCGGCAGATGGACCCTGGCTTGGGGATCGATGCTGCAAGGATGCGGGCAATCCTTGGGAAAGCTCCCGTCACAGAAGATGGCAGCGCCCGGTGCAAAGCCTTGTTTCCTTGGGCAAAACTCCAAGGACTCCAAGGAGTTCCAAGTACATATAGCTCGTGAGACTCGGGCCAGTTTCAGTAGAAGGACAAGCAAAGTATGAATGAACCGGTAAGTTTGCTGGCGGTTGATGATCCTGGCTCAGCCGTGGTAGATGCAGTTGCAGCTGCAAAGCGTATCGAAGAAAGGCATGCCACAGTCTTCCTTGCACGTGCGTTTGTCCTGCTGACATAGTGACATAGTCAGAGTCTTCTCAAACTGCCCATCGGCAGTCATGTGCATCTTTGCCTTCAATGCTTGTGCCTCCTGTGCAAAGCAGCCCAAAATGTATCAGGATTCCAGGCTTGGCTCAGCGAAGCTCGACAAGCATCGCAGCGACGCTATTCACCTGGCACGGACGATATCACTTGCGACTTGCATGTCGTAACTACGGTAACTCTACGGTAACTAGGGGGCACATCCTGAAGTTGCTGGTTGTTCGCACTTTTGGATATCAACACATTGCAGCATCTTGTGTGCGGCCAGCGGCCACACAGCAGGAGCATGATTGTGCAACTTACCTGAGGATTTAGCATCACGGGGCCAGCGAGGCTCCTTCCTGCAGCCATGTGTCGTGGGCAGCTGCAGACGGGCGAAGACGGCTTGCTCACGATGCCGACCCCTTGGTGCCGGACGTATGCAGCCAAGCTTTTGGGTCATAGTCATAGGTGCAGAGAGGGTGCTTTAATGAGTCTGGACCGCGACGCTGTGCCTCCTCCCACAGTCTTGACAATGAGGCCTGCACAAGCGGTAGGGCACGTGCCGATTTTCAATCCCGAGTCTGGCCCCAAGAAAGAGCATTGAGATCTGGCTTGCATGCAAGTGGTGCAAGCATCCAAGGCGCGAGCAGCTTGAAGCAATGGCATACACGCTGTTGAGCACGAACGCATGGCTACTGCAGCATGCCCAACAGCTGCAGTGCAAGTGGCTTGGCTGCGAGTCCAAGCATTGTCGGGGAGGTTGTGCAAGCAAGGCTGGAGGGCAGGCTCCGTCACGGACTTTGCGAGGTTACAGGATACTGCAAAGCGTAGTCCTTGGAACTGGCACATGTTCAGGTTCCAGCAGGAGACATGTGTTGGCATGGTCTTGAGAGTCTTGCGGGGTTGGCTGGCCAAATCTGAGGCTGTATCACGCCAATCAACAGCTGGAGGATTGTAACATGCAGTGCTATCAGATGCAACATTGGCTCATGCAAATGGGGCAACACCATCGGCAAGATGTGCGCCCCGGTTGCAAGCCATGGTGCCAGGTTGCATCCATGCCGGACGAGAGGTCACAGGCAGATAGACAAGGATGTGGCATACACCAGGAGGCTCCTCCTGCTGTAGCTCACCTCTCCTGTTTTGCGATAGAGCACTGCTGAGCTTTGCAGGACCATGGGGCATAAACCGAGGTGCCAAGAGACGGAGCTGTGGTGTCATGCAGCGCGACAGCATGGTGATGATCCGGCAGCTTGGGGCCCAGATCGAGAGGAACGAGTCATGCAGGAAAATAGGGTGTCCAGAATTAGACGGTAATTTAATGCAAAGCTTCGTGAAGGCCTTAGCTCGCCGAGTCTTCTTTAGACGATGTGTGCTGGAGACCGTGTTACGTATATTATGCTAGTCTGAAGAGCTTGCTGCCTCCTCGATTCCAGTAGAGGCCTTGCAGCGACTTGTCACCACAAGATCATCGAGCTCTTCGCCAGAACTGGACAAGGACTTCTGCGATCAATTGGATGTGGCGGATGGGTGCCTCTTGCTGCAAAGATTGCTGTGTCTGATGGTAGCTTCACTACACACAGCGCCGTTCACAAGCTTGTGAATGTGAACTCTTCTAGCGGCTTGTCCCCTGCCTGCCTCGCACGTTCAAACACTTGCTTGCGATTTGTGTCACGTACCGGATGTTCTTCAGGCAGCGCCATCTTTCCGTGCCCAGGTCTGAAGAAAACCGCAGGTCCATCTTTGACGTAGACCCTGTGGATCTCATGTCTCCAGCGTACCCCGGCTCGCATCCAGAAGCGCAACGCAACAACGTACGCACCACATTTCTGCGAGATATTGGGCATCCGTTCTGCTCAGCCCAATCCAGCACTCCACAAAGTTGCAGGATCCTCACAAGGAGTGGAAAGTCGGCACCTCCCTTCGACCACTGAACGCCCCAAAATACTAAAGCATTCACAGCAGCATGATGTGCAGGCCGAACCTAGGCCTAGGCCTTCAGATAGTTGGATGACTGCCATGTCTTCGGATTCCTGCGAGTTTTCGCTGCCGCGAGGCATCGTCGTCACGAGCGTCGCCAGCCGACTTTTGATGCGAGGCCTGTCCATCAGCCAGACTTACCGGGTTACGGTCGAGGGTCCGGGGAGACAGCAATAGGAAAGTCTGGGTTTAGGGGGTTGCGGAGAGGACGGGCGCTGCTCGTGCTTTGCGCCGCCCAGGATGCCTAAGGATGACCGACCGAACGAAATAAACGAAGAAAGTAACCCAGAAAGAGAAATTCGAATAGCACAAATCGTAGCAGTAATCTACTTGTAGCAACATTGGCGGCAATAAACCAAACCTTTTGCATAGTTGTCATGGCCATAACAGAAGCGAAAGCAATAATACCACCTGTAGAAGAAAAACAGTAGCAGTAGACGCAGTGACGCCAACCCTTGCACATCAGCCTTCAAACTTGAACACATAAACCCCCAAACGCTAATGGCTCAGCTGAACCTAAAGATAAAGCACGTCAAGCAACTCTTTCAAAGGCTCAGGCTGGAAAGGATCCTGTTCTTGGAAATGTCTGCTTCGCTGACATGCCTGCCAGCACAAGCACAGGTGCTGCAAAGCGGAACCACCGCCGGGAGGCTTATCCGATATCGAGGACAGCGTTTCTTTCAAAAGACGTCGCTCCCAAGGACTTGAGGCATCGTGTCATGTTACAGGCAAGCAGGTCTCAGCGGTGGTGCATCGAACCCAAGTTTTTGGATGCGATTCCCACAGCAAACACGTCCCCCAGAACTCACCTTGGGCACCGAAGCATCGTTGTCCCTGTACAAAAGCACTCACCCCGACGGCCACAGCCCCATCATCACGCCACATTGTCTGCATGCTGTCTGCATGATTGCAGGAGCCAGCGGCGACGGAGGGCGCGCCTCCAACTGCTGCTGGGCCGCCACAGCAGCCACTATGCAAAGACAGTGCCTGCGATCCTGACCGCGATCCGCACCTCGCTTACAACGATGATCTGTGGGCCCGTGAAACTGTTCCGGATGCCCAGTTGCTGAGGACCGGCGAGCTCAGGCACAGAATCAGCACGGGCAGCAACGACAGCACCCGCGTTCCGTCCGACAATGATGATTTATCGGAGGCAGGCTTTGAGTGCTTCTTGCCAGCTAGATTCAGGCGCATCCGGGCCTGGTTTTAATGTTCGTCCATGGCTGGAGTCGTCTTGACCACTTGCATGTTAGCTGCGGCGAGCAGGATTCAGGCGACGATGAGCAGCAACGTGGTGACGATCGGCCAGCTTGGAGCCCGGATCCACCGAGGAAGTCGCGAAAGCCCGCTAAGGACAGGCTGACACACGCACGTTACACCAATGCCACAGACGTGTGCGGTCGTCGAACAAGACGAGCCCAGGTCGGTGGTTCCTCGCAAGAGGCCTCGGCGACGAGGCCTTCCCACCGTCCTACGGCAGCTAGGCATGAAGATCACAATCAATCACGGTGCTCGTAGCAACCAGGGAGACGACGAGCCCAGCCCACAGCCTCCACCCAAGGCGATCCAAGGCATCCAGGTGGGCATTGGGGAATGCAGTCCCCAAGACCTTCATGTGCACCTCGGCTTGATTTGGCTCATCTCCGTGGCCTGCTCGCACGGTCTTTCGGTTTCTCTCGGCGAGAATCTCGCACATCCCGTGGAACGTCGCAGAGGAACAAGCCTTAGGCCAAACCTGCTGCCGTATCTCAGCGCGGCTTGGATGCAAAGTGGTCGGTGGCAGGGCCAGGTGTGGCAGGGGTTTCATTTTTGTGCAGTACAGGTGCAGGAGTTGCTGAGCTGGCGGCTGGTTTCCCGACGCACGAGAAGCCCCGAGGCCTGCAGTCTTCTGCCTCCCTCCGCCTGCTTCGTTCCTTGCCACTGCTTGAAGATGTGCATTTGCTGCTCCAGGCATTGATCGAGCACTTGAAGGAGATGGGCAGCATGGACAGGCTCGAGAGGGTCCTGGCACGTTTAACAACCGAATCGATCTGTCTGCGATCCCCTTGCAAGCTCGCCTCACGCCGGAGCACTCAGCATCCCTTCCTGCAGCAAAGGATGCGGATGAAGTGGTCTAGTGAAAAGGAACTATTGTCCTGCTCCCCTTGTTCACCACAACCGGGAACGTCCAAGCTGCTTTCTGAAGGTGGCTGCCGCAGAGTTGGCAAGCCCCACACCACACAGTACACGTTTTAACAAGGTGAGGTCGTTCCCTCCCTCCATGCACACTGCTGCGCAATCAATCCAGTCACCGAGCGAGTTGCTTTCCTAAGTCTGGCTTTTGTCCTTTGCCTGTCGCGATGTGGATGCCATGCTGTATAATTGTGCTGCACTGCGCAGGCCCGCATCAGCTGTCGCTTTTTCTGACATGGCGACCGCGATCGCTCGCAGCCCGGAGACATCCTTCGCGGCAGCGTGTGGAGGCGATGTCAAGCAGCAGAAGTTCCACGAGTGCCTCCTGCCTTCTTTAGTGTTAGTTAACATGATCCAGAGCCAGCAGACCATAGCAGACCCGTCTTTCTGGCAGTGCATCAGTCAGCTGTGCCAGCTGAGCCGACTCTGCTCCACTCTAAGGTCAGCGGTGGTGCATGGCCCTGGCATCCAAGAACAGAACACACTTTGCCGAAATCCAGGTGCGGCGCCTTGTGGACCAGAACCTGCAAAGTTTGCTTCGGCACTGCCGAAGCGCGGATGAGTCAGTGGCGACAGCCGCCATGATGGTGATTTCGAACTACGCGTCCGATGCCCTGCCTTTCGTGCAGCGCTTCATTGCAAAGGCCATGCTAGCATTGCTGGAAGACCTGGTCGAGTCCGACGACATACCCTTCAACTTGCGTCGGCTAGCGCATTGCATGCAGCCGCTGGCATGTGTATTGCGATCGATGCGCAAGCGTCAGCGTCAGAAGTGGGTGTCCCTCCTGGTCAAAGTGCTGATGAACCGACATGTTCTCAAAGATCCATTGATCGAACGGCTGAAGATGCTATGGCTTGTTGATGACAACCCTCAGCAGACTTATGCCGAAGCTATACAGCAGCTGCGGTCTCACATGAAGTCCACCTCCGGAGATCTGCAGCGTCGCCTGAGGCTTCTTGTTCACCACAGCTGCTTCTGAAGTCTGCCTACGGACGCCGATGTGCATCAAAGATGACTGAGTGCTGTCGTGCAGCCCGCAACCGCCTAATCATTATTGTCGGAGCAGTATCTTCAGCAGAAGCACCAGGTCGTAGAAATTTCTGCCCGGGGTGGGAATTCCGGTTTGGGCCGGTCGTGCACAAGACTCGATCGGCTGGGCGGCCGCGTGGATGGCGACGAACTCGTCGCTCTAGATGCAGAGCAAGGCGAAGGCGGAGATGATGGCTTAGGTGCTTTTGTTGGAGTTGGACGATGTCGTTGCCTGCGTTCTCTGCCACCAATCTTGCAGCATACGCTTTCTGTTGAGCATGTGCAACCTTCGGGTAAGATTCTCTGGAACGTGTTCTTGAGCGAGGATGAGATAGGAGATTTCGTGGAGTCGGCTGGGTTTATTTCCGGCTCTTTCAGTGGTTACGATATTCCCAGCTGTTTGCGAAATTATGGAAAGCTTCGGAGGCCGTTTCTGCACTTGAGGGCATCCGCAGCACCTGGCCAGGAACCACGTTGCATCTGCAAGCTGCATTGGCCGTGTCGTTTAATTTACCTAAGAAGCGGGCATGCGGCATTGGCAAGGACAGATCTAAGTTGGCTGCGCTCATGAAGGAATGCTCCTTTCCCATTTGTCATGAGCTCGGGAGGTGGGTCACATGTGATCAGGTGCCGTCTGTTCGAGCCGTCCGTGTTTCCGTCTGGTGAGAGGAAACAGTAGAGGCATGTGAAAGGATATTCATAGAAACCAGAACCACCAACTCGCACGAAGGTACTTGACGGCAACTCTGCCCCCTTGTTACGGCATTGGTGATACGGAACCACCGAGCCCTCTGCCAGCTGCTTTGTGCAGGCAGTCTCGACGTCAAAGTCCTGATGCACGAACGAATGGGACGCGGCCTCAGCCACATTTTCAGGACAGTCGCCACATCTCTCCGGCCATCCCTCCCCGCCGCCAGCTCCCTCAAGTCCTTGCATTTGTCCGCAGATTCCGTAGTGAATCCCAGGTCTCAGACGACCTCCGCGTCGGTGCCACCACCTGGCACCAGGACCTCCAGCGGGGTTGACAGCTCGCCCTGCGCTACTTTGGAGACTGCCTTTTGCAGTCGCTGTGTGGACACACAGTCGAGTTCAATGTAGTGCATAGAGACTTGCAAGCAAGCAGGCTTTGCATCAGCGGAGACGGTGTCAGTGCATGTCGGGTCTCTCAGAGGCTGCAGGATTGGCAGATCCAGCCGAAAGCTCCCAAGTCAAATGCGACCAGCTTGACGTGTGTTTGACTGTATGTGCCATGTCTCATTCACGTCTGTGAGGAATGGGCACGTTGAGCTCAGCAGAAGAATGACTTACAAGGCCATCTGAGTCTGAGTAGGCTTTCGGGAGACTGGTGAGTGCAGTCTGCTCAGCGTTGCATCCACGATCCGACTCTCGAGATGACTTGAGGAGGTCCCATCCCCACCGACCGCCAGCATTGCTCTCAGTCCTGAGCACGACCCATGCGGCACGCCCTGCTGACTGCATCCAGGTTCCGCTCCGTGCATGAAGAGAGATGTCGTTTTTGCCGGGAAGCTTTGAGACCGCACCATCGTGCCAAGGCAACAAGCAGCGAGGGTCTCAGACATAGCCTGACATGGCCATGGCATCCCTAGGACATCGTGAGATGTGTCCACTAAAGCAATCTCACGGAAGGAGAAAGATGCAGTTGCGTAGATCTTCTGATGTCCAAAGAGGCTTACGCCGTGTATTCCAGCCGTCGTGTACGAGCAGTGAGGGCCCCAGATTCTAAACCCGTGAATTCCAGGATTCCACTTCTCTCGTGCGCCACGCCCTGAAAGCTTGGAAGGAAACATCAATCAGCAAGCCTCCAGCAAAATTCAGGTTATGCGCATGGTACTACGTAGCACCCTGGTTCGAGTCTTGCTACCTGAGAAATGCCTGTGCCGTGTGACAAGGGCAGCTTTCTCTGATCCCCTCACCTATGACACCAAACATTCCTAGACTTCGGTCTTCTTCGAGGAGCAACTGTAACTCAACTAAGGTCGAAACACAGGGGGATTCCATAAAGAAGGTTTGTGACAAAACCCATGCAGGGAAGTTCGCACAATTTTGTGAGCACTTCTGCTCAGACGGGCTCGCCACAAATTGGCTCACCGATGGTCGCACGCAGTCTCAGCGGGTGACTCAGACAAGGACGTGCATAGGGGTAAGCGGTTGAATGGCCGTACGGCCGTACTGAAGCAGTTCCGCAGTGCCACAGGGAGAAGACGGCCAACGTCTAGGAATGCTTAGTGAAGGGCCGTAGGACAGGTTGTTGCGGCTGTGCGGCGCAACACGACGCCCATCTGAGGCCCCGTGAGCCAAAGTGTCCGGGCAATCGCTGGCCAAGGTGTCCTGAAGTGTCCGAAAGAGACGGAGACACGGGTCTCTTGCCTTGCCTTTCCTTGCCTTTCACTCTTCTACCAGGAGCTCCAGGAGTCGCGACCGTCCGAAGCATCGCCAGCTGCCGTGTGCGGGACTTGGATGTCATTTGAAAGAAATGCCGGTCGTGGTTCTCAGCCGTCCTGCGCCGAGGTCCGCATGGTGGGTACGGGAGTGCGCAGTGTGTGCAATTTAACGCCGGCGAAGGGTGCCATCTGGCTGCAGGCTCGTTTCACCCTCGCCCATGCTCAAAATCCACCAACATCGCCAAGGCTAGGAGATAAGATCTTGTGAGCTGAATTAGTCAGAGGCCTGCAGGGAGCTACAGTGTGGGGAGGCTCACCCTGTAGTTTGCACGATCCCCGACCCTGTCTCGGTTTTGAGAGAGGCAGCGTGCTTGTCGCGGTGCTTCCGCCCCGTTTCCTGTTCTTTCCCTCCTCGCCTTTCCTGGAGAACTCCATTCGTCATCCTGAACACTGGTCAGCTTACAACCTGGGCAATGCCGTCACTTCGCTAACTTCAGCACAAAATGGAAATCAATCTTTTTCCAAGCTTTGCATTTTGGTCTGCCCAGTTCATATTGACAATGGATGCAACTATGTGAAGTATTACAGATATCCAACAGATTGCTAAGCGATTCTAAGCGAGTTGGATTTGCCCAAACTGTACGTCCGAAAGCACTTCGGGCTGTCATCTCGTTTTCGATTTGGACATCCGCACAGGAGTCGATCAGCAGCAGATTGGACGACTGCCGAGTGGAGCTCCTCAAAGAGCAGTCGCAGAGGGAGACTGTGCCTTGCCAAGATGTGTAATGGCTTCCACAATGCCTTCCTCGCTTTCGTGCTAAAGCAGGCTGTTTCGGGATTTATCAGATTTATCCTAAAAAGCAGATGCCGGCAGCTTCTGGGCGAAGTCAGCGATGCTGAAGGCTGATGTCTTAGCAGACCTGCTGCAATCTGCGTGGGGCTCCAAGGTTCACGATGACTGTGGACGCGAGGTTGGTGAAGAGGCCGTCCCACATGGAAGTATTAGAACTACTAGGTTACTATGAGGGCTTCAGGGGGGTTCGAAATGGTTTGTACAAGCGTTCTAAGAAGGTCCCAGTTCTGATTGGATTCATGCCGGTGGACCTGAGCCATGCTTCCCCACGAGACTGTCCCTGCCCAGACGTTTCATTGGGTTTTAGGGTTAGGGTTTAGGGTACTTAGTACAGAAAGCTGTCTTTAGCTTTGTGCTGGCATCGTTATGGGGTCCTTATAATATACGGATCCTATATTTCAGGCTACTAAATTAGGGCCCCTATTTTCGGAAACTCCCACAATTGAAGTATCCCACGATGCAGTATCCAAGGCCAACTGGTCTGCTTGCAGCGATCAGCGATCGATGCTGTCCCTGCACCTAGAGTTACCAACAACCAAGAACCATCAAAAAAACAACCATGAACCATTCAAAATCAACAAGACTAGTAATGATCCAAGGTTTTTGACCACGAAGCAACATCGCAAAAAAGCACTGGCTTGTTCCTGGTGGGTGTATTTGCCTGGCTGAGTCCGAAGCCCAACACTCTTGGCTTTGACTCCGAAACCCTCTGCTGGAACGAACCTCAGCGTGACAAGCGCGCTGCTGTGGCTGCTGCTTCTCCGCCGCCGCTACTGCTAATGACACTACCGGTTATGAGTCGCAACACCATCAACACAAAAATCATGATTCCGACGCTTCATGTTGCTTTAGTTGCGGAACTGCTGCTGCAAGCAATCACCAGCATGACCAGGTTCAGAGACTCCAAGCTTTGCTCGAGAAGCAGACAGCAGCCCCTGTGCCGCAAATGGTTCTCAAACACGACCTTCTAAGTGAGGATTGGGTTTCGTGCTCAGGGTTGGACATATGGGGCTTCGGGATTTTGACTGCGGGGTTTCGCAGGTTTGTCGAACAGACTCCTGAAAAGAAATGCGCAGACTTTTCCTTGCAGCACCTCGTCGCTGTATTTGCTTTCGTAAGTTTGTCCACTGCGGACTGAGCCTCGCGTGACCCTAAGCTTCAAGTATTGAGTCGGAAAGCCTTCGTGTGCAGCTGCGCTTGGAGTACGGGGAGCAGATCGTCGCCCACCTGGAGGTTTGATCAGCACTTTCTGACTTCGGTGCTTGCATTCGGTTCGTTTCGTTTGGTGTTGATCCTAGTCTTTTCTTCATGAGGCAATCTGTGGATTGATGGGAGAGCAGAACATGTTGACATGGTGTTTTTGCAAGTTCTGTTGATCAGGATGTCCTTGTTGCTGTGGGCTGCTGCTGCTTCGATCTTTTCAATTTCGGTGTTGTGTCTCGACACTGTGAAATTCCGGGGATGTCGGTGCCAGGCAGAATTCAGGAAAGCCCAGGACGCTATTGTCAGCGAGCAGTCCGACCCTCTGCGGCCTCGCATGGTTTTCACGCGGTGTCCCAGTTGCAAGTCTGAGGCAGCTTCGATTCGAAGCAGAGGGCATGATGCTCCGGATGGTTGAGGACACGTCTGAGCTCTGGGTCCCATGCCTGGGAGCGCGAGTCGGAGACGTGACAGGATGTATGTGGGCGACTACAGGCTGAGATTCAGCAGGACCGGGAGTGTTCAAGTCGACAGTTTCTGACGGCCATTGCGATTGGTTCAGGGTTTTAAGGGTTTAGGGTTTAGGGTTTTAAGGGTCCATGTGCCTACCTACAAGGGTTGCTTCACGGGTTCCGACAAGGGTTTTAGAGGGTTCCATAGGGATACCTACAGTGTCTTTTACCCATAGGCCCCAAAGAAGTTCCTTTTTGGGATTACCTTATAGAGTTCTAAATTTGAACCCCAAAAAGGAACTAATTTGGGGCCTTTGGGTAGTGTCTTACAGTGTGCTTTTTTGTTCATCCTCTGGCCTGGAACAGCCGACTTCGAGGACGCGGAGATTGCAGTGACCAGCACGGCGATGGTCCACGGTGCTTCTTACCTACACCCTCCATGGCAGGCTGGCGGTACGAGTCCAGAGGGCGATGGCGTCGATCCCAGAAACATCCAGAAACTAACAAGATGAACACCGTTCCACTGGAAATGCGCAGCCGCCAACCAGCCCTGCACCTCGGAGTGAGTCCCAGTCCGAGCCAACATGACAATACGACTCACCATCACCACCGGCGTCGGAGGCAACGCTCGCGCCAGATGCGCTGCCCGCCATGAAAATTTCTAACAACTCTGGTCGGCGTAAAGCTTCTGATTGAAGGCTTAGGCAACAGCGCCCTAGACCCTAAATCTCCGAGGGAGAACCTGATGAACAACAGCCAGTGAATGCTAAGGATGAGTCATGATTCGCGCCGTCTCAAGCTTCAGGTTGATGGGTTTCTGGGAGGTGCTCCCCCAGGTCCTTATAACCTCCTGCAGTGGGGTTCCGGCCACGCGTGGTTTGGGCTGTCTTGCCCGGCACACTGTTCAGGTTCCTTTTTGCTCTCCTTCGCGTTCTTCGCTTGCGGCTTCAGCTCAGGGGCCCTGGCTGTGGTTTTCTTCCTGAGGGCCCACCTCTTTGGATTTCCTCCTGAGCCTGCCCCTTCCTGGACTTCCTCCTCTCCGGCTTCCGATCCTCCTCGGCCACCACGGCCTCACCATCTCCGGTTCATGGGGGACAGTGAGGCTGACCTGTCCTCTGCCATCACTGAGGTCCAGCTTGCTTTGGAGAGGCCCGCATCGCCTCACTCCGTTCCTCGCCCTCCCGGGCCTCTGCCTCCGAAGCTCCAGAGTGGGAGCTGGTCACTGCTGCTGGCCCTGCTGGTCAGCCTTCGGGTTCCAGATTCTAGTTTGGGTACTAGTCCCGCCCCTAGTGGTTACCCTAGGGCCGCCCCTACCCCACCTCTGCCTGCACCTGTCAGTGCGGCTGGTTTTCGGGATTGCCCTCAGCACTGCCTGGACTTGTGTGCACGGCTCACTGCCGGCCCTCTTTCAGCGGAAGCCCGGCCAAAGCGGGCCTGGCGCGCGGGGTGTTGGGCTGCTGAAGTGTTGTCGGGCCGCTGGGCCACACCTCTCTCCTCAGCTCCCTTGGCGGTCAGGCCGGCTGTCTACGTGGTGCTTCGGTCTCGTCTGGGCCGCCCTGCTCGCTTCACTTCTTTCACCGCCCTCCGCCGGGCCATTGGGGAAATTGAGGGCAGCGACTCGGTGCTGCACTCCTTCGGCTCCATCGCCGAAGCCAAGGTTTACTGCTACGGGGCCGGTGTGCCCTTCCCCGAACCGCTGGCATGATGAGGATAGACGACCTACGTTTGGAGCAGGACTCCCATGGACTCCCCTGCCGCCTGAAGTGGCCGCTCATCTGCAATGGCACTCGCGACCTCCAGGTCTTGTGCCTTCCGTTGCTGCAACGACCTGGCGGCTTTATGGTGTGTGTCCCGGCTTTCCTCCACACTTCTGCTTTGGGCAACGCTGCGAGCACCGAGCCTCTGGACTCGATTGGTCCCTTTTGCTTGGAGTCTGTGGAGACCATCGACGAGGACGAGAGTGGGGAGGAGCACCCCACAGGGATCCAATGCCAGGTCCTCCTTGTGGATCTGGACGAGAGCCTCCTCTCTTCGATGGAGCCCTTCGATCCGGTGACGGACCTGACGGTCAGTGCCTTCGTGGAGGATGCCCCTCAGCGAGGCTCTTATGCTAGCAGCCAGGGCATGGATCGGCGGGGATGGTGGCGAACGGCTCGGTCCAGGCCGACCTTCTCCAGCTGAGTGGCACGGGCTCTTGGGATCCGACTCCTTTTCTTTCGGATGAGCTCTGGCTTGCCTACGTCGAGCCCAAGTCACTCCTTTTCGGAGGGTTACCTGCTCCCGGTTCCTTTCCTGACTGGAGTGGAGAGGACCCCGGTGAAACATTGCATCTCGCCCGACTCTGGTCGTCTTGTGCCTCGAGCCCTTCGACCCCAGCCTGCCGGAGCACTGCTACACGCGCATCTCATCTTTTGCGCAAAGAAGAGCTCGGGGAAGCTCCGCCAAATAGGTGATCGTCGCGGTCCCAACGGGACGGAGGCCAGACTGAGAGGGCCCTCGCAGCATCTCCCCACGGGAGAAGTCATGACAGCCCTCAGCATTTGCTCCTCTCGGGAGGGTTTCTCCCTCTGCATGACAGACCGCCCATCAGCTCCAGGTCAGCAAGCAGGACGAATCGGCTCCGTCCCCTTATCCCTGCGAGTGAGGTTGTCGACCTTCCGGCCTGGAAGGGTCTGCTTTCAGGAGCTGATCCCGCGGTCTTGCCCTGTCCTCTTGCTGAGTCTGGGGCAAAGGGCCCGTCACCGACCGGATGCCCGAGCCCATTCCGCCCTGCCACGACGGCCTGATCATCGACGACTACTTCTCCATTTCGAAGGTGCCCAGGGCCGAGCATGACCGGCTGGAAGCAGCCTCTCCCACGGCGGCCCGGGACCGGCTGCAAACAGCGCGGGAGGTCTACCTCCGTCACTCCTTGCAGGGATCGGCCAATAAGGACATTGAGAACGCAAAGGTCGCGTCCATAGCGGGTGCCGAGGTCGACTCGCGAACGGCCACCCTGGATAAGCAACTTTGTGTCGTCGGGGCCCCTCGCTCCAAGAGGCTTGCTCTCAGCGATCTCACCCTGGAGATCTGCAGCCTTCCTGCCACAAGCGATGCCCTGCACGCGTGCATCATGGGTTCTAGGTCCTCGGTTTTCACCTTCAGACGGCCCTGCTTTTGTGCTTTCTCCGCTGCCTTTGGCCTCGTCCCGCTCAGCCAGCTCGACCCCCTGAGGCCTCGTGTGCTGCCTCTGCCGCGCCGTTGTGCTGAGGAGCTCCGGCTCGCGGCTGCTCTGGCTTTGGTCGCCTGTGCTGATGTGGCAAAGCGCCTCTATGCTACCGATGCCTCCGAAGAGCGAGGGGCTATCTGCTCTGCCGCTCTCCCCAGCGACTTGCAAGCTATGGTGTGGAAAACGGCTGACCGCAAAGGGGGCTACGCACGGATCGCCTCGCCTGCGCGAGTGCTGCTCAAGAGGGGCGACCCACTTGGGGAAGATGAGGAGGCCGAGTCGCCTGAGGCCCCACCTCTCAGAAGGCCTCTGGGTTACCTTTTCGATGCCCTCTGTATCGGCAAAGGCGCGAGGGCTATTGAGCTTGAGCTTGAAGAAAGGGGTTGGGCTGTCGGCCCTCTGCTCGACCCGGCCAGGTCCCCTTACTTCTCCTTGATGGTCCCTGCTTGCCGAATGAGTCTTTTTCCTCATCGAAGAAGACCGCGTCAGATGAATCTACATTGTACCACCTCTGCAGCCCCGTGGCTCCGGTGCGGGTGGGTCCCCCAGCCTCGCCGACTGTGCTCTGCGCCTGTGCCCGGACGATTGGCTCTGGATTTCGCGTTGCAGCTGTTGCCTTCCAGGTGCCACCGAGGTCGTCGCCCACTCGTGCGCGTTTGGTTCCCCTTTTCCGGAAGGCTATCAGGCTTCTTGCGGTAGGCTGCTCTTTGCAGGCTGTTGCCCGGCCGTGCTCTTGCGTGGGGGGACACAAAAGAGTACAGGGCCGCTACGGGACCGCCTCCGCCCTCACCCCTGGCCTTGCTTACGCGATTGGGTCCAGCCTTGACGCTGCTCTCCGTGCAAAGGTGAGCAAGCTCGCTGATGCCGATCTTCGTGTTGATGGACTTGAACGGATTGCCTCTTCTGACCTTGCCCTCTCCCTTGACTGGCGAACTGAGCAATCTTGGCCCTGGAAGGAGCAGGTCCATATCAATATCCTCGAGTCATCGACCATCGCTCGGCTCTTCCTCCAGCTGGCCCTTGAGGGTGGTCCCTTGCGTTTTGCCAACCTCTGCGACTCCAACCTTGCCAGGTGTGCGGTTGTCAAAGGGCGCTCGCCATCCCAAGGCCTTCGTCATTCGGCCCGCCGGGCCTCTGCCATCACCCTTGCTGCGGGCCTCTATCACGGCGGCCTGTTCTGTCCGACCCGTTGGATCCCAGCTGATGCCCCTTCTCGCTCCAAGCCTTTGCCCGAGCCCGTCAAGAACCTCGGCCCAGGGTAGGGCCGGCCCCAACTAATGTATTTCCGGGGGGCCCGTACGTCTACCCAATACAATCCCTCGGGCTCCAGAATGTATTTCCGGGGAGGGTCAGAAAATCGCAAGATGCAGTGCATGCTGGTTTTGTTTGCCAGAGTCATGACAAATCGCTCCGAGCCCTTGCTCGAAGCTGGCCATAGATGCATGGACACAACATTCGCAGCACCGTTATGTGAGCCGCAAGGTGCCGTGCGAAGCCAGGTCCCATACTCTGTTGATCACCAATATCTCCGCAGTAGTATCACCCTACATGAACCCTAATCTCTAATGGCTAAACGCCACATCCCAAACCCCACCACACCGAGAACGAAGTCCTGCTCCCTTGTGTGAGACGTGGTAGACTGCATTTCGCCCACCCCCTCCCGAAATACAATCTTGCCTGACCTCAAACCTCTCCCTGTGCAGAGGTCCTGTCAGTGGTAGGAGGTTTCACAGGCAATAGGTGTGGTTTACAGAGATTTTCCTTCACTGCGAGGCTACCGCGAGAACCGAAGTGATATGTGATCCAGTACGAACCACTACACGTAGGCGGACCTTCTGGCAGGGGCCCAGGGCCCCGGAATGTATTTCACGCCCCCCCGCCCGAAATACAATCTTCCTGCCGGGGGATGTGCCGTGAAGACGAACCCGAGAGCTGCGTGTCAGGCATCCAAACTAATCCTCCAGAGCTGTATTTCAGGCATCCTAACTAGTCCGACTATTTCCACAAAGTCTTCCCGAAAGCCTCCCCGAACTAGGACAAGGTCCGCATGGCAGCTGCAAAACAAAGTGCACCATGCCCGCGAAGCACTTGCTTGCTGAGACTTTCTTTTCCTTCGAACGTCCAAAACCCCTACGAAATACATTTCTCCATCCCTACTAACCCCCAAGGACATAATGTATGAATTGAGGGGGGGCCTCCAAATGCGAGTTGAAGCCATCTATCCCAGGGTTTTGGGATCACGATAGGTTCTTTGAGGATGCTCGCCGGCCCCGACTCCGCCGCTGCCGCTGGGCTGCCAACTGGCTTCGTTTGGCTTTTGTCCTCCAGCCTTCCCTTGCTGACCTCAAGGCTGCCTCCCTTGAGAGCCGGTAAACTTCTGTGCCCTTTCGTGCTTTCACTGCTTCTCGCCCGTTTGACTCGACTTTGGGCCTCCCGGGCCCTCCTTTGGTGCCCGTTGGACTCTCCTTGTGCCTTGCCTTCTCTGCTTTTCGGCCCCCCTTCCCTCAGGCAGGCTTACCTTCAGGGTGTTCGGTTTGGGGCTTGTAGCTTCTGCGCCCGTCGCCGGAGCAATGGAGACCAGAGCTCTGAAAGCTGAAGCTGAGAGGAGACTGCTTCGCATAGGTCTTGAGCTGGAGAAGGGTCGCCCTGTTCAGCAGACGACAAGGAACCGCCGAGGGAAGCTGAAGGCCGCTTTCGAAGACTGGCTCTTTGATCGGGGCCGCACCTGGGAGGGACTGAGAGCCTTAGGGCGGAGTGACGTCGACCAGCTCAACGAGGTTCTTATTTGGTATGGCCAGTGGCTTTTTGAGGAGAGGAAGCCATATTACCACTACGCTGAGACCCTGAATGCTTTTACTCTGGACTGCCCTTCTGTGAGGAGATTTCTCCAGCCAGGTTGGGACTTGGCTTTTGCCTAGCAACGGCATGAGCCCCCGACGCATCACACTGCTATGCCTTGGCAAGTGCTCCTCGCCCTTATGGCAGTGTGCTACGTCTGGGGTTGGGACGATGTTGCTGGGTCTCTGGCCCTTTGCTGGGGAGGCTTGGCTAGAGTTGGCGAGGTGTTGGCTGCAAAAAGACGAAACTTGGTGGTCCCGGCCGACGTCGGCCTGGAGGCGCTTCCGGGACCCAAGCAGGTCTTCCTTTCGGTTCTGGAGCCGAAGACCCGCTTCAAAGCGGCTCGTCATCAGTGCCTGAAGATTGACCAACCTCAACTGGTCGAAGCGATCATTTTCGCTTTTGGGCGGCTCGGCCCCGAGGCCTCACTTTGGCCACGCTCGGGTTCCGCCCTCCGGCTTCGCTTCAAGAAACTGCTCGCCGCTGTGGGGCTTCCGATTGGAGCAGTTGAGGGAGTGCGGGACTTTGATCTCGCCAGCCTCCGGGCAGGAGGCGCCACATGGCTGATGAATGTCACGGAATCTCCTGATCTGGTCAGGCGCCGCGGCCGCTGGATCACGAACAAGGTGATGGAGATTTACGTGCAGGAAGTCTCAGCGATGATGTATCTTCCCCGTTTGGAGCAAGGCCAACGGGAGAACCTTTTCGCTTGGACAAACTCCTTTCAGTCGGCCCTCGAGTTTGCCCAGTGGAGCTCCTCGCTCCACCTTTCTCCGAGCCTGAGGCACGTTCTGCTGCAGCACGGCGTTTGCAATGCTTGAGACTTTGGGAGCTTTTCTTCTTTCCATGCCATAGTGTTTGGGGCGGAGGCCGCAGCAGCTGTACAGCGCAGCATAGCTGCCAACCTGTGACCTCTGTTTCAAGGTGCAGAAAGAGTGGCGAATCCTTGAATGCTAAGGATGAGTCATGATTCGCGCCGTCTCAAGCTTCACCCGCCCGGCCCGCCCACGCCCGGCCGCAGCAGCTGTACAGCGCAGCATAGCTGCCAACCTGTGACCTCTGTTTCAAGGTGCAAGAAGAGTGGCGAATCCTTAATTAAGGTGATCACCTCCAGGAGTCCATGTACCTCGTTTGTATATACTTTGGCCCCAAAAATATCGAAAAAGGAAGTCGGCTTCCTTCGGCTTCGTCTCGGCTGGCTTCCGAATACATTCCTAGCGCCCAAGCCTCTAGAAAAATCCAAACTGAGCCTCAACGCCCCCTTAAATCCGAACTCATAACAGCCTGGTTTGGATTTAGGGCATGAAGAAGTAACTATACTTCAAAACCCGTAAATCATCTAAAAACCCTATAAACCCTTAATGTCGTAGTTCATCGTCGCCTCTTATTGTGGGAGAGATCGGGGCCTTCCAGGAAGTTCTGTGTCCAAGCACCCAAATACCAGGGTTTGAGGTAGCAGACGCCTTCAGAGCATGGATGTTGGGATCTAAAACCATACTTTTTCGGCACTTGGACCCATAGGGATCACTTCCTCAAACCTGGAGAGCTGATTGGGTAACTTGAAGCATCTTTGCAGTTAGGTAATCCTGCCATATTGTGCCGGTCATACAGCCTCCTTGGACTAGGGCTTAGGGAACTCGGCTCAGGTCAGGTTTCTGGTAAACTGGATAACAGCATGGCCATTAGCAGCGTCAGCACAGGAATTTAGACAAGGTGGCGGCTCTAGAGAAACAAGCCCCAGACTCCAGCACCTTAGGGTCATCATGTTGCCAGCTTGGAAGGTCAGGCAAGCACGTTGCGGGTAAGGACGGTAAGGATGCTATTGTATATTCATAGTATAGTATATCCAAGCCTTGCAGCGGCTACAGCATGACCCAGCTTAAAGATAAATCTAGCCCGAACTTCCATGTTGTATGATGTTTGGACTTCAAATCGGCGCCCAAACATTGTCAGGCTCGTTATTGGGTTTCTGTAGTTTCGGTTTTTGCATATCCTACAAAACGTGAAGTCGAAAACGTAGGAGTTTGGGCCAAGAATCCCCGTAATAGGTAAATCCTAAACGACCACCCCAAAGGGTCCAAACTGAACCCTAAAGCCCAAACCTGAAACACCAACCCTAAATCCTAAATCCTGAACCCTAAATCAAATCCTAAGCCCTAAACCCCAAAACCTAACCTTAAACCCTATACCTCTGAACCCGACATCCGAAGCCCTGAACCCCCAAACCCCACATCCTAAACCCTGCCTAGACCCCCAACTACCCTTTAATCTATCCTGAGGGCTCCATCAAAGTGCCATTGGGGGTCCTGGTACACCCCTACTTGGAGGATCATGGGAGTTGGTAAGTAAGGTCCCATGATCCTGAAAATATCCCCTTAAACCCAGCCAGGTCCCGGCAGCTGCATGACGGGGTTCTATAAGAATTACTATAAGGGTTACTATAAGGGTACTGTAATACATCGGCCTTAATAATGAGAATGGGGTTTTGGGGCCCGTGATACTGTTGTTTTAGGAGCCACCAAAATAGTATTGGTGATAGTTCAGGCCCCTATATGAAATTCTTCCTTGCTGCCGAACGAAGCTGTCGCCAGAGTTGGAGAAAGGTCTGGAGGGTTTCGGGCTTTAGGCTTTAGGGTCCAGCATGGTTTCGGGTTTAGGGTTTGTGGTGTAGGGTTTAGGATGGATTAGGGTTCTGCTGTGGGGTTTACATTTCGGGGGTTGCATGCGTTGCGCGCTTTGAAGAAATTATCGGGTCACCTCGACGGCTTATATATGTATACATATATACATATATATATATATATAATATACATATACCAGCGAGGCTCCACAATGATGCTCGTGAAGTGTATGAATGACGGGTTCGATGGGGGTAGCGTCATCTCTACAATATTTCTGCTCATAGAAAGATGACACCTGCTCGATTGCCCGTTCGGCGGCTCCAGCTCTTTGGAGGAAGCCCACATCCGTAGCCGAGGTAGAGCTACTTCGTTTAAGAAAGTTAATTGTCGACCTGTCCCCTTGTTGCGCCCTGTGAAGAAGAGAGGTTTTGCGCTCCTGCTTGGCTTGTTTTCGGGCATCATGATTTCGTCTTACCAAAGCATCTCTAAGAGGGCCTGTAGGTGTGTTCTTCCTTTCTTGAATTAAGTCGGTGACTTCAGGAGGGTCCTTCTATCTGAGGCTTGGTGGTTTGATCACACTTTTGTCTCGCATCAGAGAGAGCAAACCTAGATCAAAGCTTTTATGAGGAAGGTCTAGGACTGCTGCCTTTAGCCGCCTAGGATCAACTTCCCAGATTCCACGAAGGGTTCGTCTGTAGGTTGGCCTAGCCAAACGTCTCTTCCCAGTGCACGTGAGGACCAATGCATTATGGTCTGATGTCAGGCTCGTGCAGGAATGTGCAGGCACTGCGCAAGGCTTGTGCCTGGAGTCGAAGCAGGGCTAGTTCGGAGGTTAAGGGGTGGTTTTCGAAGTTTCACGCTTTCGGTTGAAGGCTGCCTCAGCAGCCTTCTGTGCTGGAGCACTTGTTTTTAGAAGCTATAAACTTGTTCTTTGCCGTTTCCTAGCACAGGAACCCGACACAGGAACCTGAATGCCTTAATAAAGGGCAGCAGTCAGTCCTCACTCGGTGACCTTCGCCAACTTTGCCAACACACTCCGAGCATCGGATGACATCGTGACCGCCTTTCCGCTCAGAGCCATGTTGCCAGCTGCGGCAATCCGAGCTGTTGTGGCGTGGGTGGCCCAGGCTGAGGTAGAGATGATCGTGTTGGCTTTGTGCGTTGCCGAGGAATGCAAGAAGCTTCCCCGGAAGGGTGGACAGCGCTGCCTCGGCCTCTCGCTGCCATCGGAGTGTGCCATTTGCCTCTGATTCTACGACCGAGATCGTTTTCGCAGCGGGGTCGCTTCGGCTCGGAGGCGCCATGTCTCAGAACCAGAGCCCGGCCGATGTTCTCTCCCAAGATCCTGGCGTCAGGACGGCTCTTCGGAGACCTCGGAGGCGTCAGCCTTCTGTCGTCTTTCTTCACACCTCTTGTTCTCAAGATGCCAAGGACGAAGGTGGGCTGTGGGCTTACCTCCAAAGCGAGGATCTCGCAGCAGCCGCTGCGAGCGTCGCGAAGGTGCGATGGCATTTGCATCCCGAGCTGAAGTTCCGGGCTTTCAGCGTGAATATGCGCTGTACTGCAGGCTGCTAAGAGGCCCCGTGCCCGCGAGTGGGCCCACGAGGATTGCTGGGATGTTTCATTGCCATTGCCTCGGGACCGCTGTGATTGCCAGTTTCCTGGCCAGCAAGCTTTCTCTCCCTGAGGTTCCAAGCGGAGGTTCCTGATCCCGCACTGCGATTTCCTTTCGAGCTGGATCCGTGGCCCTGGCCGATTAATGCCACTTTGATGTTTTGCTGTTTGTTTCTGATCTGTACCTGCAACCTCCTTGGAGGTTCCAGAAGCGTGCCGTCCACAGGGTGGAGAGGAGCGAGACGCGAGCTTAGGTGCAGCATCAAGCTCCAGAGCATACCTCGTACTGCCTTCAAGGAGTCATTATGCCAGGGAAGATCCCCAAACAGCGATGGAGCACCACGAGACCACCACGACAACCGGGACCACCAGCGCGACCACCACTACGACCGTCACCACCACCACCACCACCGCCACCGCCAGGAGACTAGACCAGTAGGAGACTACTAGGAGACCAGCAGGACACGAAAATGCTTTCCTCCAAGTGCTCGCGAGCACGGCAAGTTGCGTTTCTGCCAAGAACTGGCGGACTGAGTTTCCCACAAGTACTGGCGGGATTTAGGACCACGGCCGTGCTGCCGGGAGGAGAATCAGGAGCACTGCCAACATGTTTGCCTCCCAAACCTGGCGGGATTTAGTTGGACTGCGAGAATGGCGCGACTCAGGGTTGTCCAGGCCAAACGGTGGCAAGGCGATTCGAATGTGGCTCTTAGGGACACGGTTTTCATCGCATCCTGTGTAAACAACAGGACATGAGCGCAAGATATTCACTGCGCATCACTGCGCCGCAGCGGGAGGCGCATCCTGGGAAACGTTTTGCTCATCCAGCCGTGCGTGCGGGCGCGTCGCACAGGAACAATAACCAGTACCGTATACATCCGTATACTGTATAACTCGTATCGTTTCAATCCCATAGTGTGTGTGTACCACACCGCCTGGGGAACAGTTCCACTTTGCTTCACTCGCCCGGTGCCTAGTACAGCCAGTGATATCGGTCTAAGCCAACGTCACTGGCCGAGGCATGTCATGGTGGCAGCACACACCTCTGCTGGCAAAACGGCCTGGAGCTCACCGGACTCGGGGAGGATACTTGTTTTGATCAGTTGAAATCTGGCACACGGTCCGACTGCCGAAGTGGCAGTCCTGGCACATGGCCGCCGTTCTGTCAGGTCGTGGCAGAGTATGCAGTGGCGCATGCGCTGCGCTTGGGCATGCGGACGATCTATACATCTCCGATCAAGGTGGGAGGAGGATGCGCGCTGTACCCGCTCAAGCCGTCAGCTCCCCCGTGTCCCCAGGCATTGTCCAACCAAAAGTTTCAGGAGCGCGGACCCCAAGGCTCCGTTCTCCAGGAGTTCTCTTCCGCAGAGTTTCCGCAACGAGGTTCACACGGCGCTTTGAGGGCCTGGGCTCCGTGGGCATCGTGCGGAGCCCGGAGTGCCGTGAGTGTGAGTCGAGACGGTGCTAGGGGTTGGGACGCCAGGTCACCGGCGACGTGACGGTGAACCCGGAGGCCCGAGCCGATATCTATATCCTCTTGGCCCCCTGTTCGAAAGTAGCAGCTCGGCCAGCTGTGGAATCCCAAGCGTTAGAGTTGTAGGAGCTTTGAAGGCGAGCTGTGTCATCATGACGACGGAGATTCTGCGTGCTAAGCTCGGCTCAGGAAGGCATAGGTGCAAGTGCGAGTCCAGCTGAGTGGTGCCCTGAAGTCCAGAGCTGCAGGCAAGACGCAGACTCCCAAATTGCCCATTTTCACCCTCAGCCCTAAACCAGCCTCCACAGAGTGGAGCTTCGTTCTGCGCGTTTCGGGTGTCCGAGGATCAATGCTTTATCGAGGCGACAAAGGCTTGAACCAGGCTCCCCGGAGCCTAGAAGAGAGCCTCTTCTCTTTTGCTAGGGGAGGTGCGGTAGAGAGCGGCTTTGAAGTCTGCAGGGTTTGCCGTGCAAGCGATGACTGAAGCTTGTTGTGCTACGTGGGCAGGGATGTACGAGTCTTATCATGTCTGACAGCCGAGAATCGAATGGGTCAGTAGTTCTCTAAAGTCTGTAAGCAGACGCATAAGGCATATTCCTGGATCCAGCCTCGGACAGGTAAAGTGGGTCATATTCGACGAGGCCCGGCTTGCAGATTCCCCTCTTGACTGTGCATGCCCCCTGTGGATACGTTACTCGGATGATCGTCAGAATCATGCTAAGAGGCTTACATGAAGGTTTGCAGCACATGAGGACCGGGTCTCCATTCACCACTACGTTATAGAGTCTAATGGCAGTAGTTGTGATAATGATGTAGACTATTCGTAGAGTGCAGATGTTTTGAGATCCTTTCCTTGAGCCTGTCGAGCCTGGCAGCATAGCTCCTGAGAAAGCCATGCTGCGTCGCTGCCATCCGGTATGCGTGGATCCATCTGGGCCCCAAGGGAGCTGAGAAAAAGCAAGTCTCAGGAGCCACTGCAAACAGAACGCGCTTTTCTCGAAGTCTTCGAGAGACCTTCGAGGTTTTGGCCCTGCGGGAGCTGGTGAAAAGAGGCATTCGGAGGAGGGATGCCGGCAAGGTCTTTCAAGAGGAGGTGACCTGGAGCTGTAACTATTCCTCATGGATGCTGAAGGGCGGGTCGTGTGCAGAGTGGATCCTCGGGTTCTATTTCGGCTGCGCTGCGCCGGATCGTGCGGCGCCCAGAAATCCAGGCACAGCGGGCTATGGTTGAAGTCGTAGGAGGACTCTTCGTGCGTTTTCATAAGTCAGCGAAGGTCGCTGCATGTCCCTACATCCTGAGAGACACTTCCGGTGTAGGTAGGGAGTCCGCAGAGTGCTGTAATGATGACATGTGATGTGAACGAAGACGAGCTTGGCTCCGACCGAAATGCACTTTACCTTCTCCATTTCGCCTTTCCTTTGATGGGAACTCTTTGGTGGCCATGGCTACCCGTGCTTCTTGCTCTGGCTGCCAAAGGCACTTCAGCAGATTGCAGGGCTCACGGGGCTTCGTTGCTGCAACTCGGAAATCTTCCTCCACACAGCCCTTGCTATAACGTGCAGGGCTTCAGCTGTGGAGCTGAAGCAGCTGAAGTCGACTCGGGCTCGCTCGTGGAAGTAGCTCCGCAGACGTGCCCCTTGTGTCCGAAAAGCAGTTCCGAAACCGTCCTTTATGGGATCGAAAGAAGCGACGGAATCGGGGAGCGCGTGTATCAACTCCTGACGTACTTCTCGACGGCAGCCTTGTACAACATGACCTTCGGTGGGTTTTTGTTCAATGAATCCTTTGACGGAGGACACAAGATGAACTCGTCGGTGCTGGTTCACAGCCTGTCCACGTACATTGGAAGCAACTATTCCAGCTTGCGAATCAGCGCCGAACGACCCGCTTTCGACCTCTGCTGGCGCTGCCTGGAGGATCCTTCCACCCCCCCGCCTGCTGCGCGGCCAGGGCAGTCGATTCTCGCTTGGTTGGGCTGCAAGCCAATGCCCGAGACGGACGTTTTCGGTCCTCTGAACGCGCCATTTCTCAAGGCACTCAGACAGTCGTCACAACTCCTGAGTCATCCGGTGCCGCATTTTCCTTCGATGGCTGCGACACTCCGTGTCGCAGTTCATCTCCGGCGCGGAGATATTATGAAAACAACCCTGGGTCATGGCGTGAATCGCTTTATTCCGGACTCGTTTTATGTGAAGTTTTTGCGGCTGCTGAAGCCTATAGTCGCACCCGCGAAGATTCACGTGTTCTCGGCGACAGAAGGCAAGTTCAGCGACGCCGACTTCGACGCCTACCGGCAGCTCGGAGCTGAGGTTCACCTGGACGGTCAGGCCGTCGAGGATTGGGCTCACATGGCTCAGGCCGATGTTCTGGTCGTTGCTCCCAGTGGCTTCTCCTGGGTTGCTGGCATCCTGAACTCAAAATGCGTGGTGGCCTTTGAGTCCTATCCTTATGCATACCATCCTAACTGGATCAAGCTGAACCAGCACTTCAGCAATCTAGAGGAGCTTCGCAAGTGTCTTCTCAAACTAAGCCCGTCATGACGGTGTGCCGCAAATCGAGCGAGAAAAGGTGCCCGTCATCCTGGAAGGCTCTCAGCGGCAGGATTCGGGGGAGCTCGGGGTGAGGTTCGGAGTCACTCTGACCGGCCGCAGCTTAGTTGTTGCTCAAGCTTTGTTCCGCTGCATCGTGTGGCTCAAGAACGGTAGAATCCCATCCATCGTTGGAAGGATCTTGCGCCGTTGCCTCTGCCTTCCGGTGCTTTGAGACGGGCATGAGTCTTGCCGGCCTCAGGAGCCGCCGCGATGTTCAAAAAGCGGGAAAGGCCGAAGGTGGCGCCACACGAAGCCCTGCACATGGGCGCACTTCCTTTGGGCTTCCCTGAGGAGGAGCTTTGTGTTTGTATTCGTGCTTCGACCCTTCGACCAGGCCACCCGGACGAAGGAAGCGGAGGAGCTTGCGGCGGAGGAGACCTCTGCCGTGCCTCTGGCCAGCAAGAGGCCAGCGGGGCAGGGGTCCAGGGCCGCTTCGAAGCTTCCTTCGGGGCTTCCTGTGAATCCTTCGGGACGGGGCCTCGCGAGGCAGAAGCGGAGTGGTGCCATCAGCTCGACGACGGGCGAAGGTCAGCGCGGGGAGATGCAAAATTCAAGATGCATCGCTCTTCAATCCAGTTGCCCTGCGTTTTTTGGTTTTCAGCTGAGGTGGCAGCATTGCCGCCTCCACACGCAAGGAGCCGATGTCAGAAGCGGCTCCTTGTCAAGAAGCAGTGCTGAAACGTTAGAGAGAAGGCTGAATTCCGCAACGCTGTGCGCACGAGTGCGCAGCATGCAAGCGGCCACTGTCGTAGAGCCGCCGAGGCGCGAATAGCAGACCGGCAGCAAGATGCAGTGTTCTCCGGCTTCAAGGCCCCCAGAGTCGTGTCAGCTTTCCACCTTCGCTTTCGTTGAGTCTTGGGCTTCGCGAGAGGCGAGTGGGTCCACGGAGAACACGTCCGCAGCTCAGCCCTACACGACACTCCTCCAAAGTGGCAAAGCAGAGCACTTGAGAGGCCCTCCTCCGATGCAGTCCGACGACTGGAGGTGGACACGGACGTTAGCAAGGGCCTTAAGGGTTCCTTCAAAGGGTTCTATGAGGGGGGCCCTTTCAAAAGTGTGAGGCTCAGACGTTGACTCCCCTCTGAGGCCAGGACAACAGGGCGATCCTGGAGCGAAACGAGAAGATTAACCAGGGCCTCAAAGACGGCTCCTTGGAAAAGGGCGTCTACAGAGGCTTGAAGGGCTACAAGCCACTCGGAGCATCTTTTAGCCGGGAGCTGTAGAGGAAGGCAGCAGATCGTAGCAGTATGTAGCAGTAAGTGGCAGCCTAGGCAGTATGCCAATAGAAGCGAGCACGCCATCGCCAACTCCAAGTACACCGGTCTTCTAGGACCTTCGTGTTGCTCATTCGGATTGAGCAGCGCACTGCCTGGCTCACATCTCGTTGAAGCGGTGCTGGTGCAAAATATCTTTTTAGGACCACTCCGCAGCAGCCTGAGTAACGTGCGCAGCACGTTGCGAATCGAGTACATCGGCACTAGCGGTGAAGGCACCGCTCACGCTTTCAGTCCAGTCTTCGCTTGGTTTGTTGAGTGGTTTCCTCCATCCCTAGCCGCGTGGTTGTCACAGAGCCCCTGATACAGGTGGTATCTGCAAAGACTACAAGGAAACTGGCTACTGCGGCTTCGGCGACTCCTGCAAGTTTGCACACGATCGGCTGCTGGGCTTCAGAGTCCGGGCTCAGAAAGCGAAGGGTACATTCCAAAGTCGGCACAGGATGCCATCCCTTCTGCCAAATTGAGATGTAGGATTTGGTATAGTGCTCCCTTGATCTAGCAAGGGTCTGATGCTGCGTGGCTTCTATCGATTCCTTTCGGGGTAGTTCAGGTCTGATTACAAACCGAGCTACATCCTGGAGCAGGAGTGGGAGGCCAAGCAGAAGGCCGAATACTACCACCTTCGGTTCTTATTCTGCGAAGAAATTGATACATTGCTTATTGTCTTGTCATTGGTATCATGTGACAGGGGCTGGAATCGAATCTCGCTAGGCAATCGAAGAGAAGAGGCGGAAGAGGTGGGAAAAGAAGATGGCGAGGCCTCGGCAAGCCTTCGTCACCTGATGCTCCGATTCCCCGAGCCCTAAACTCCAAAACCCACATGAGCGTGAAGCCGAAGAGCCCCAAACCTTATCCTGGGGTCTCCTTCAGGAATTCTTGTTCTTTGGTTCTGTACATCATGTTACGGATCAAGCAGGCATGTGTTTTGTGGGTTGAAAATGAAGAATACTCGGTGTGCGAGTCTGTGAAAAACTGCGCCAAGCGCTTGCGACGTTCAGAAAAAGAGTTTGCAAGGTGGACCATGCCAACCTGCGTTCAGAAATCCCCTAGTACCAAAACCTCACTGCAGAGGATGCAGCAAACCTCGTGAGTGTGGTAGTGGATGACACAAATCCGAGGACAGTCATGTGACGTGTATTGAGGAGTTGGCAAGCGCTCTGAAGCCCTCTTCGTTCACATCACCGGCCGCATCGCGAAAGACAACGACGGTGACAGGTTATGTGTATGAAAAGTTTGAAGACAAGGTTGACCGCGGCCACCAAGGCAGAGGCTTAGGCAGCCTTCTGCCTGAAGCCGCAGAGAAAGTGCAAGAGGCCTTAGATGCTCGCTTGCAAAGGTAGAATTGAGTCTGTTAGAGACCAACGAGAAGGCACGAAGGTGCGACACCAAAACCAGGTTCAAGGCTTTGCATCGGCCCAATCCCGTTTCCCACCATGCAGCTGCCGTGATGACGAATGTCGGCATGCAAAGATGCACTCGGATGTGTCTGCACCCAGCCCAAAGTCGCAACATAGCTGCTTAAAGGCCTGCTGCGCTTCATGCGTTTGCCTGATTACAGATTCTTTTCCAACGCGACAACGGGCCTCTAGCCTATGCTAAGCTTTGAGCATCTGTGAACCCTCAATTCCGAGCCTTTCGGAGGCGGAAGCAAGCGGAGGAAGAGGGCCGAGAGGTGGAGTCGGAAGACGACTCATCGGAGCCTCGTCGGAAAGTTGCCGCGTGCGCTTGGGGTGCAGGATTTAGGAACAGGGTTTTCGGGGCTTCTAAGCTTCACGGCTTAGTAGGGGTTCGGGGCTTGGGGATTTTGAAACGGAGGATGCCTTGAACCAGTAACCGTCGACCCTGAAATCTGGGTCGCGGACGTTAAGGCCTGAACCTCGCCTTCAAATTCACATGCCAAGCCGGAAGCTTCCTGTTGAAGCCTTCGGCCCTCGATGTTCACCCTGAATTTGAGCATCTCCAAACCCCAAGTCTTCTACATCCGAGCTTTTTGGGGCTTCAGGTTAAAGATTCTGATCTTGAACATATTCTGTTTGTGCAATGCAGTACAGCATACTGCAAGCCCTTTTGAAAGAAAACCCTTGTGGCCCCTGTGCTCGTTGTGGTGACCTGAGATGACGAGCGATGCGACGGACGATGAGGAGGAGCTACCCACAGAGTGTTTTGAGTGTGGCGCCGCTTGTCGGCAGTTTCCTGCGATACGGAAGCATCGGGTGTGGTGCAAGGGGCTGTGCAGCTCAGGAATCCTGGCAGCGATGCAAAAGTATTCCCGTCCAAACTGTCTGTGGCCACTACTTCTGTGAGGTGGGATGCTTAAGTTTGGGCCGAGATGACTGGGAGGTTTGGTATGTTCACGCAGTGCAAGTTTATCAATACATACATATATATATATACACATATCTGTACTATACAACATATAACAAGTTCTATGTAATATATTACATATTACACATTAATACAGTACATAATTTAAAAACATATTTGATTTGATATACATGTATATGTCTAGAGCATATGCTGTACTTCTGCTTTTCTGCACAGGATTGCGCGATGGCGGCCTTCGCGAAGTCCGACAAATGCATCAGGTCCGGTCAGGGGCCTGCAGAATCCTTCGGCATACATGAGATGCAATATGTATATGTACATATATATATATACACATACATACATATCTATATTTACATTTACACATATGCATTATATGTACTTTATACATTATATGTGTTATCTTATACAGTACATGTAATATACATAAAGTTGTACATAAATATTATGGCTTCAGTTTTTTGGTTTCAGTCTGGTTCAGGTGTGGGGCGAAGACCAACGGCATCTTCAACTCTGCGCCTTGGCAGAGCACTGGGACGTGGCATTTAAATAGACCCCTGCAACTCCCAAGTACCCCATAAAGCCCCACTAGACCCGACAATATGCCTTAAAGACCCACTATACCCTATAATATGCCTTAAAGACCCACTATACCCCATAATATGCCTTAAAGATCCACTATACCCTATAATATGCCAGACCCACTATGCCCTATAACATGCCTCAAAGACCCACGATTACTGATCATGAGGGCTCCATTAAAATGCCGACGTGGCCTCCCGTCTTTTAGGGCGGAGCCAAGGCAGACACGCTCCAGGAGAAGCTCAAGGCCCCACGGCTGTAGGGTTTGGGGTTTAGGGTTTAGGGTTTGGGGTTTGAGGTTTAGGGTTTAGGGTTTAGGGATAGGGTTTATGCAATCGGTCATGCGGACTGTCACGAAGCGAAACACTTGGCGACTAAAGGGATTTAGGGAGTTTCCGAAAATTAGGGGTACCTCATTTTGGGGTGCTTGTACTGGGGATCGCCTTAAGGGCACTATCTTAGGGTCCCCTATTCTTGGAAACTCCCCCTTCGATGCAATCAAAGGTGCTTCGAAGGATACCAAGGTCAAGATGGATGCAGGTTTCAAGCTCGCCCCTCCCTTCTACGGTTTAGGACTGGGGTACTGTGCGTGTCGGGAGTCAGGCGAAGAAGGAACGCCGAGCGGAGCGGAAGCGAATGAAAGCCACCAAGAGGAGGGAGGCCCGGGCCCCCAACCTGCATTACGTTTCGATCTTCCCCAGTCCCTAGATTTCTGAAAGATTCCTGCCTCACCCACGGGCAGGCTCAGAACACCTTCGGGGTGAACGTGGAAGGAGGCAACCTTGTCTGACCTTCGCCTCCTGTGTGCCGTGTCCTCGTTGTGGTTCTCGAAGCTAACGGCTGTGCGCGCGAGCTCGCGGCAAAAGAGGTGCTGACTGCAGCTAAAAGTGCTTGGCAGTCGGGCCTCACTCAGGCTTAGCGTGATGCGAGCAGGTAGCGTGAACTGCCCGCATCACTTGTACAAAGCTGTCCCGACGCGTCTCTTAAGCCGTTAGGGAAAAAGTCCGTGGTCGCTGCCGCAGTCACACTTTCGTGGATCTCATCAAGTGAGGTACTGAGAGTACGAGATATTACACATCGAAGGACTTTGGATCCAGGCACAACAAATAACAAACGAGCTAGGTACTTGGGCCACTGCTCAGCCCTAGCCTTTTTTCTCTAAATCTAGAACCCCCCCTCCGAATTTTTCAATCCCTGAAGGCACCAAGCCGTAAACCCTAAGCCGTCTCCCGCATTCCCGCTCTCCCTCGCTCCCTCTCGTGCTCCTTGCCTCCATCCTCCCTCAAAGTATGGGTCCATGATCTAGAGTCTGGAGTAATTGAGGAGGCTTACTTATGTGCACAAACACACATCATAAGTTTCACTACTGCAAGTACGAAAAAAATCAAAACGTATGATCTAAACTGGCATAGTATTTCCGTCGATTCCAGAATAGTTTATAAGCAAGTATTGTGTTCTGTGTAACAGAACAGAACATAATGCATTGGCCACCTTTTACATGGGGCTGCTCCACCACTGTCATGTCGTGATGGGTTATATTCTGCTGTTTGGTGTATCACATGCCACACACACAGAGAGATAGCACATGCGCAGTATATAATATATGAGTACGTAGATGCAGATAAAGGCATGGATACAGATATATGAAGAAGAAAAGTACAGACAGTGACATAGGTATAGATAGAATATACATGTGCATGTCTGCACATATGGAGGCATGCACGTACACAGCTTTTCCGTAGGTACGTATCTAGACATGCAGGATTTCATGTTCCCCTCGAGTGTGGGAGCTGAGTCGCTTCCCAGGTCGAGGTGGCCACGAGCTGCACTCGGATCCGCCGCCCGAAGCTGCGCGAGGCCATTTATGGCACGAGCCGAAGGCCAGCCGGGACGAGGGAGCCTACAGTAGGAGATTCACCGAAGGACTTCAGGCGACAGGGATGGGTTTTGAAGCCTGTGCAGTAGTCATAGTGACAGCCTGGATTTTCAGATTTGGGGATTCCACCTCTCAGTTTTTCAAGCATTCATTGCAGCAGAGCGTCCTGTGAAGGCCGAGAGCAGAAGAACGGGCTGAAGCAGACGTCAAGATGCCCATCGCGTATTCTCGTTTGGTGCGCATGGCTGATGCTCTGATGTTCGAGAGGCGTGTCGAATGCGATGTCTGAGTGTGGACACTACCCCTGTTGGTCACAGCAGTAACTGGGTCGAGTTTGCCACAGCATGAAGGTGGCTGGAGGCAAGTCGCAGCATATGCAGCGCTGCAGCGCTATGGGCGTGCCATGCGTCGTATACTCCAGGGATATCGTTCTGTCTGGGGGCTCAAAGAGCTTCAGCAGAGCCCAAGAGCCGTCGCTTAGGGTTGGTGGCCGGGCATTATCCGTCTGCACGGAGAATTCGACCTGCTGTCCAGTTGAAGCGGACAATGGCATATTTGTAGAAGAGTTTCGGACAAGATGAATGCGCTTCATGCATGAGAAAGAACACCTGCTGGAGCTCTAGCAAGGAACCATCAACGTCCTAGCTGATCCTGCCAGTTCTTCCCAACGACACGTCTCAGTCTGCAGCTTCTTGGCGTCATCAGTTGATTTGTTGTATCATCGCCGTGATTGTCATGGTCGACAGCTATGATCACGGTGTTTTCTCTGCGGCATTCTGCATTGCTCTGCCTCTTTTCGTCCGAGTGCTGCGGCGCAGGTGCACTACGTCAATGACGCTGATCGCGGGGTGGTATGGGAAGAGGTGATCATCCTACTGCCACCGGAGGCCAGGATGCTGCGAGCTAAGATCATCTCTTCACCACTCTCCTGACACCAGGTGTCCATTGTGATGCTCTCAGCCCGGGCCTCTGTCAATATTGGAGGGAGAGGGTCCCGGCCCGAGCATGGAGGCCACGGTTCCGAACTACCGGGACTTTGCCGGCTGGGTCGGCAGGACGAAGAAGAGTCCTGTGTGCGCCTGGTTGCAAGAAACGCCTGAAACTGTGCTGGAACTGTTGATGATATCAAAGCGGTTCCGAGCCTGAAACGCTGCAGCAGTGTCGTTGTCTCTGCCTGTAGGCATAAGTTTGCAGTGTTGCAGGTACACTGTACATACAACTTATCGGCCAACCCCACTGCGTCGAGTTCTCAGCATTTGTCTGTATCTTCTTGGTGTTCCTTGTTGCCAGCATCATGGCTAGCTACTACAGTATCTCGTGGTTCAGCGGTGCTGCAACTTTTTGCAGCAATCCATAAGTGGTCCGTCCATCGGTATTGGCATTCTGGCAGGAGTGCCTGCGTTGTGATAGGAGTTGAGACTGTGTTTGGATCCAGGGCTAGGATGTTCGTCCCAGGACACTTTCTGAGCTTCCGCGGTCATGTCCTTCCCCTGATGAATGATGAGGGGTCGAAGGCTCAGGCAGCATGGCCGGTGCGGGTGAGCTGCGATCCTGATCTGGATAATATGGGGGCATTAATAATTACCTACACAGTTTTGGGGCTCCTAATAACCCTAATATACCCCCAAACCCTATTTTTATGTTTAAGGCCTCTACATTATCTCTGCATCTCTGCACTCCTTGTCCCAGCTGGTTCGAAAGCATTAGGAGCTTCCTGTGCAGCACCTGAGCTTTGCACCAGGCCCGTCGGTGCGGAGAGTATGCCCCGGCCCGCAGCCATATTGGCTGGAGCATCGTCGTTGCATCAGCAAAATCAGACTGCAGCAGTTCCCTAAACCTACGTGCTACGCAACATTCGAGCCACCTTCTAGTGTTGAGTGCTTTCACGTCCGAGTTGCGTGCTGGTGTCAGCCACAGCCATGGAGGCCGGGTGGCTTTCGGAAGCTCACTCAGATGTCACTTCTTAGCTCCTCCCTCTCTTTGCTGGTGGCTCAGGGTAAGATCGAGACCCGAGTCATCGACGGAAAGGCCGTCTCAGCGGAAGCAGGGCCCTCGGAGCTACGGCGCCGGCCCGGGCCGGGACGCAGGGGAGCTGAGAGAACTCTGAGCCTCAGGTTCGCGCCGAGGTGAAGGCCTTGACCGCGTCTTGGCGGTGAGAGCCGGGGTTTCAGGGTTGAGGGTGTTAGACTCAGGGTTGTAGGGGTTCAGGATTGATTGGGGGTCAAGCGTTTTGGTTTCAGGGTGTCAGACTCAGGGTTTTTAGGGGTTTGGGACTTCAAAAAGCACAAAGGTGATCAGGCTCTGGTCCTTCCTGATCCCAGGAACAGCTGAAGCAGGAACATGCTGTGGTACCGGGCCTCGCCATGATCCTGGTCGGCGAGCGACAAGACTCCAAGAGCTATGTGGAGATCTCAGCATCTTTGAGCTCAATCTGCTCTTCTCTCGTAGGCTCTCAGCTGCAATTATCGGGTTTTCTGTGGCAGGTGGCAAACAAGACAAAAGCAGCGAAGGAGGCAGCTGCCTCGTTCATGAAACAGGGGTGTAAGCTAGCAGCTAGCGGCACTCACATCAGTGTTTGGAGGTGGACTTTCATGTAGTGGACGTCCACCTCCCTGAGACCGTCACCCAGGAGGCTGCGGACGGCGAGTGCTCAACATCTGTGCACGTGCTGCCACTGTTCTTGCTGAGCCTTTGCCCTAAACCCTAAACTGAAGATGGGGATGAGCCCGGAATGCAGGGTCAGGTCTGCCGGGGAGCATCTTCGAAAGTGGTAGCTCCTTAGAGGAGCTTCTGGCCGAGTTGAAGAAACTCAACGACGACCCCCAGGTCGCTCGGTTAAGTGGACTGGCCTAGTTGTGTTTGTCACGGTCCCGCAGTGACTGTGCTAGGTACATGGTATCCTGGTCCAGCTGCCACTGCCGGAGCATATCAACGAAGGAACAGTCCTGAAGCACATCCGAGTAGACAAGGACTACCCTTTCTTTTTCTTGCCTCCCTCCTTGCGTGCTTTGCTTCTCTCGCTTCATGAGGACGCCGACTGCTTCGCTGCGGAGAACGTCGGCGGCTCAGAGAGATGCACTGATCCCGCTCAGTTACCATCGCCATCGCCACTTCGTTGAGGGTTCTGGGTTAAAGTTTCGGGTTTTGCGCGATGCGCAGTCACAGAAACTCCCAAGTCCTGTCACCGCAGAACCCGCTTTGATTTGTCAAGGTCGGAAATCTTTGTCTCAAAGGTGGAGATCCACCCTTGGCTGCTCCTCGACCGCAAATGTATGTATATACGTATGTGATTAAGTACATTACAGATGTATGTGCGTATGTACGTGTGCATGTAGGTACATATGTATGTAGGTATGTAGGTATGTATGTAGGTAGGTAGGTATGTATGTGTCTATGCATGAATGTTAATGTTTCTTCTATGTGTATGAACCTGCACACGCCCACACACACACAAGCACACACAAGTACATGTTTGTGTCTATATATGTATGTATGTATAAATACGCTTATATACTTCAGACGATGTATAATGTGTATGTGTGTCTGTATGTACATCTCATACGCATCAGAGTTTTGAAGCAGGGGTTCTACTCATCGCTCAGGTACCCTGCACGCCTGCGGGCTGCGTCGAGCTTCTGCAGCGCAGTCGTGTCGACGTAGCTGGCAAGTCGGTGGTCGTTCTTGGCAGGCCAGTCTGGATGCTGGCACGTTTAGCATCGGACATCTGAGAGCGATTCCGGACACGAGACTGAACTGCAGGTCCAATCTTGTTGGTATGCCCATGGCACAGCTGCTCCTCTCCATGGATGCCACCGTGACGATCTGCCATTCCAAGTCCCAGGATGTTGCACAACACCTGCGAGGTGCAGACATAGCCGCCTGGCCTGAGATTTCTGAGATTTATTGCGATCTGGATTGAGCCATGAACTCTCATTGTCCTAGAAATCCCAGGTCGTCGCTGCCATCGGCCAGGCACAGTTTGTGCGTGGTGGCCTCGAGATTGCTACTGCTCCTTTTGTCTGCCTGCTCATGGCACCCTAGTCCTAAGCCCCACACTCCTTAGGCTCAACCTCAACTTGTTTCGAGGCGGAGAGTGGTTGAAGCCAGGCTGCGTCGTCATCGATGTTGGCATCAACTCCGCAACTCAGCTTTGGCGCAAGGGTAGTTTCCACAGACTAGCTGTTCCCCTTAGTGTCGCACTGGACGGGTTCTCATATCCGACTGTTGCATTGGAGCCAGGGATTATGTGTGGGTTTTTGTTATCCTCTGAGACTTATGTTCGTACCTTCTTGAAAGTGTGGTCGTCACCTTACAGGCTTCGCACGGGGGCTACATCCGGTTCGTCACGCCTACTGAGGTGGATGATGCCACGAAGAAGTCTGGTTATCGCTTGGCCACGAACTGAGAGATGTGTCGATGGAGCAGGGATTTAATGATCGGTGCAGATTCTGCCAATTCGTGGGTGCGCTTTGCCCTTGCCATAAACTGCTGCATCTGACGTGCGCCGTGCCTTCAAATGAGGCGGTTAACCTGCAGTCGTCACAGCAGATACAGCTTCATACATGAGCCTGTCCCCTCTTCGGGGGTTGCGGCGTACGAAAGTCATGGAAAGGGTTTAGCCTCGCCACGCTACTCATGACTTTTGAAAATCTGCATTGGTATCTGTCAGTTGTGGGCCTAAACATGATGTAGGGGACGCCCTTCCTCTTTTCAAGTGTGCTTGAATCATCGGTATTGATTGAAAAGCAGACACAAGACAGAGGGTATCAGGACAACGAACAACAGCAGCATTCCCTGGACGACAGCTCTATTCCTCGCCATGACGACAGGGAGATATGCCGTTTATGTCGACCCGGCGAAGTTGTTCTTGAACGACAACAAGACAGTGTTGGATTATGCGAACCTTTTTTACAGCGAAAAACATGTACGGAGCGGAGCCAGTTGCGACGGTGTCTGTGTCAAGGGGGTGGCATTCAACTTGACGGCCCTTGGGATTGTCAGTTGTCACGAAGTCAGAGGTTTCCCGAGGTATTTGGAACCATGGGACTCTGCGGTGCTCCTGTCGACTTGGGTTTTCGTTTTTTTTTGAATGGCTTGCTTGTGTTCGGTTGCCATCAACAACCGGCTAAGCCCCTCCTAAACCTAAACCCATAGGCCCCAAGCCGTTCTTGGGATTCTCGAAATGTGCTGCGTACGTCGGGGCCCCTGCCTCTTGCGAACGGTTCGCAGGGATTGGTGCTCTCAGGTGGGTGACGTGAACTACCCAGAGGTTTTGGGAGTGGCCCAGCTGCATGTTGCCTTAGCCAGATCTTTGACATTCTCTGCTTGGATCCGACAGCCATCCGGCGCAGCCGTCCTTGTTTCAGGTCGCCTCCTTGGTGACTCCAGTGCCAGGGGGCGTCGGTCCCATGACCATTGCCGCAGCCCCACACCAGGCAAACATGTCTGAAGTTGTCTGTGACCATCTCTGATCAGAGGAAGGCAAGTGTGTGCATACCGGAGGATCGCATTTACTTTTTGTTTCTATTAGCATGTCATTGCAATTCTTATTGCTGCTTTTATCACTAATTAATATTATTATGATTGCCATTATGATTACTATTATGATTACCATTATTACTACTATGATGATTTTTACGACCATTATTGTAGTTATTATCTCTATTGTTATTATTGTTATTATTATGAATATTACTATTCTTACATGTCCGAAGAGTCGAGCCGAGGCAATGCTGCTGAAGAATGTTTTGAACCTGGCACGCCAAAGTGCTGGCCTTCCTCGCGTGCCTCTGCGACGAGAGGCGGGGCGGGCCGTCCCCCTAAACCGTGATCCCTAAACTTAAAGCCTCAAGCCCAAAACACCCCAAAACCCTAAACCCACAGCCCCAAACCCCGAAACCCTAAGCCCAAAACCCTAAACTAGAGGGCAGGCGGAAAAAGGTGCTTAACAAAAAAAAACCCAAAACCCTCAACCCCCCCCCCCCCCCCCCCCCCCCCCCCTCTGCCCCCGCGCCCCAGAGCTTGGTTGCTTTCAGGTCCCCTCGGTGGAGCCGAAGCCTCTCTGAGTCGAGGCGCCCGGGATTTTTCTTTTGGATCCCTGGAAGGGTTCCGACTTCCATGAGGGTTCCTACAATGAGAGCAGCTTCAAGGATGCCTACAAGGTTTCATAGGAGGGTTTCTAGGAGGATTCTTGGGGGATCTTGCGGGTTTAGGGTGCCAGTGCCAGGTTTTCCTGAAAGAGTGCAATTAGGCTCAAGCCCCAGCTGAGGCTGACAGAATCTTGCATCCGATGCGTTAGAAAAAAAGCGGGAAGGTGGCTCGAGATGCAGATGCAGATGCTGGCAGGTACTCATCTTCCCAATCGAGCGCTGTACAATTTGCTTGACTTGGCAGCTTATGGTTTAGGCAGTGCTTCCCGGCCTTCTCTTGACAAAGATGGGGCGACGTTTGACTTTAATCGTGAGGGTACTATCACTGTCCAAGTTGGTTTCCAGGCTACAGTTTCAATCGAATTGTCGGTCCGGTGTGATAGTGCCCTCTGCCTCTTCCCCATCTTGTGAATTTTGTCGCGCGTGCCTTAACAGAAGGGCGCCAAATGTATCACTGTGCCTTGTGCCCGTCTTGCGTGTCACAGCTTCGGCACGTCACAGCTTCGGCACCGTCTTGCAACTCTGTCTGCATTGGAAGAGCTTTCTGCTTGTCTTTGTTGGACCAAAGCCCTTTGAAGTGCAGATTTGAAAAGAAACTATATCACCGTGCATACCTTCATGTGTGTGGGTATATATATATATGTAGAGATAGATAGCGAGACGATAGAACATAAGCATGTATGTCTATATCTACATGTATACACATGATTATTCTTGAATGTCCACGCCTACATATTCTACACATCCACATGCTCGTTGCCTTAAAGACTCCTCCTCTCCTGTCGCTGTTGCTTTCGCTCTCGCCCGGGCCATGGCTGGGCGGTCCTTCCCGGTCTTGGCGGCCTGTGCGTCGGGCGTGGCCATCGGCCTAGGGCTGCGGCGATTGTTGGTTCGTGAGAACCAGGTGGGACAGTTTGGTGAGGGCTTTTGTGGGCTTAGGGTTGAGTTCGTGAAAGGTAGGTGAGACGGTTTATGAAGCTTTGTAAGCACGACTCCGACAAGAACAACTGAGTCACTGCTACCGCTGGTCGTGATACTGGTCGTGGTGGTGGTGGTGGTGGTGGTGGTGGTCGCACAAGTTGGGTGCAATCCAATCCCCGTTTCAAAAGGAGAACAGGGGCTCCGGGAACGGAGGCGAAGCCAGCAATTTTGAGCCTCTGCATAGCGGACGAGGCAGAACAGGCTCAGAAGGAGGAGACGAATGTCAAGAAGTTTGAGACGAAGAACATCGACGGAAAAGCCATCGCGGCGCAGGCGACATCCTCGGGTTACTGTCAGCACAGCATCCTGTGCGTCCAAGCCGGTCTCAGATTCAAAGCTGCCTGTGTTTTGGAGACCGTTTTGGTCAGAGGTTTAGGGATCAGACGCTCGGAATGCTTAAAGCACTCATGCAGCAGTCTGCATCACTTTCGTGAAAGTGTTTGTGAGAAGGGCTGGGACAGGTCCGTGCTGAAGTCAAAGAATACGCCGCCTCAGTCTCAGTGTGAGTGTGGGCACGGCCATAGCTAGGTCCTAGGTTCTTCTGACATGAGAGGATGTGAGTTGAGTGGGTGCATGTGCAGGGCTCTCCTGTTGCCTTCCTGAGCATTCAAACAAACAGCACAGCTTATAAAGACAAAGCAAAGCACAAAAAGACTTGATCCGATGATCCGAGGCTCAGCTAAAAGCTGAGTGTGGTGTGACTCCTGGCCTAGCCGTCATCTTGGTCGGCTCCCGAAAGGACTCACAGTCCTACGTGCCACGGCTGCATGCTGCGCTTGCTGCGTGCCGCGCGTGTTTTCACGTCCTTGCTACCATCGCTACTAGCACTACTAGCAGATCCTTTTGTAGTCTGCTGAAAGTGTGCCAACTTGGTGTGACTTTTATGAATCTACTGACACTGCTGCCAGTTATATTTTTGAACATGGCTACTTCTCTTGCTATGGTCGCGTGTGTATGTGGCATCGAGGTGCGCAACAAGAAAAAGGCTGCTGACGAGGCCGCGTCTCTGGCACTGGACGCGAGTATGTATGGAAAGCAGGGTTTAGGGTTTAGGATATATGAGTGGTTGTCAAAATTATGGTCCCTTGTTGGGTCGCTATTATACTACGGCACCTAATATTTAGGGTATTCAAAAAGGGACCCTAATCTTGACAACCACCCATATATCTCTTTCCGGCAACTTCTGGGTGCCGGTTTGATCCAGGAACAACCCTCTCGCTATAGAACGTCGTGTGTTGTGTTGTGTTTGCACGAAATAGCTGATTGTTTGTAGCCGGTCCATATCCATCCGAATTCTATGCCGCGTCTTGTGTTGTGCTGTATTTGCAAAAAACAGCTGATTGGTATTAGCCGGTCCACACCCATCCGAATTCTATGTCGCTTGTTGTGTTGTGCTGTATTTGCACGAAATAGCTGATTGTTTGTAGCCGGTCCATACCCATCCGAATTCTACGTTGCGTCTTGTGTTTTGATGTATTTGCAACAAACAGCTCATTGTTTGTAGCCGGTCCATACCCATCCGAATTCTACGTCGCATCCTGTGTTGCGTTGTATTTGCACGAAATAGCTGATTTTTTGTAGCCGGCTCATACCCATCCGAATTCTACGCCGCATCTTGTGTTGTGTTGTTTTTGCACCCTATACTGATTGTTTGTAGCTGGTCCATACCCATCCGAATTCTATGTCGCGTCTCGTGTCGTGATTTATTTGCCAGAAACAGGCTTGTAGCCGGTCCATACCCATCCGAATTCTATGTCGCGTCTCGTGGTGTGCTGTATTTTCACGAAATAGTTGACTCTTTGTAGCCGGTCCATACCGATACGAATTCTGCGTTGCGTCTTGTGTTTTGTTTTTGCAACAAACAGCTGATTGTTTGTAGCCGGTCCATACCCATCCGAATTCTATGTCACGTCTTGTGTTGTGCTGTATTTGCAAAAAAACAGCTGATTGGTTTTAGCCGGTCCACACCCATCCGAATTCTATGTCGCGTGTTGTGTTGTGCTGTATTTGCAAACATCAGCTGATTGTTTGCAGCCGGTCCATACCCATCCGAATTCTATGTCGCGTCCTGTGTCGTGATTTATTTGCCAGAAACAGGCTTGTAGCCGGTCCATACCCATCCGAATTCTATGTCGCGTCTTGTGTTGTGCTGTATTTGCAAAAAACAGCTGATTGGTTTTAGCCGGTCCACACCCATCCGAATTCTATGTCGCGTGTTGTGTTGTGCGGTATTTGCACGAAATAGCTGATTGTTTGTAGCCGGTCCATACCCATCCGAATTCTACGTTGCGTCTTGTGTTTTGATGTATTTGCAACAAACAGCTGATTGTTTGTAGCCGGTCCATACCCATCCGAATTCTACGTCGCATCCTGTGTTGCGTTGTATTTGCACGAAATAGCTGGTTCCAAAGGCATAATCAGAAAGGGCCCCTCCATGTATTAGCAGAGTTCAAGCCACCGAAGGGAAAATAGCATCCAAATGCAGGTGCCCACTGAAGCGGCCCTAAACCCTAAACCCGAAACTCTATACCCGAAACCCTAAACCTTAGACCCTAAACCTCTGCAAGCGAATTTGCCGTGAAGGTTGGCTTCCACACGGTGGACGTAACGCTTCCGGACACTGTCACCCAAGAGGTGCCTGCCCGGCGGTTCGGAGGTCTTTCGGTTGCACTGTCCTGAGCTGAGCATTGCGAAGGCTCTCCTGGTCGAGGTCCAAAAGTTGAATGACGATCCGAAGGCCTTGAGAGATGCTTGCTTGGATGTGACTTTAATAAAGTCGTTTGGGTACTCTTCTCTTACTATCAGCGCACGAAGCTTCCGCTGCACTTCTGTCCGAATGTGTGTGTGGGAAGGTGCACGCGATCCTGGTGCAACTGCCCTTGCCCTCTCACATCGATGAAGCGCTCATTCTCAGCAAAATCCGTGTTGACAAGGTGGGCGTGATGAGCGAGTGCTGAGTAGGTCACAAACAGGAGGTCTTACGTGTGTTATTGCTGCAGGTTCGCGGCAGTTCCGATTCTTCTTCTTGTCGTTATGCTTGTTCTTGTTGTTTTTGTAGCTGCTGTTTGCTCTCAATGTGGAATGCAATCGTCAACCTTATCACCAGCTACTACCAGCGCAAGAGTTCCTGTTGTTTGATAGCCGTAGGGTTCTGCTTATTAGTTCTGTTTGTCTGCTTGCCTTTCTCTCTCCCTTCGATCAAGACTTGATTGGTTGTGTTTGACTTTTGTTTTCCTTCTTATCGCCATCATGCGTGTGACAACCTACCGAACCAGTCGCCGGCCAGGATGCGGACGGCTTCTCTGCCGAGAACGTGACCTGAGCTGCACATGTTTATCCTCGCACTGTTGAAGAGCTGTGGATTTCTAACGTCCAGCAAGTATCACTGTTTTTATTGCTTTGAGGGCCAGGTGTTACCAGTAACTGCCTGGAAACAATGGCGTGTTAATTCCTAGAATTACTATTGCTACTTCTGTTATTTTGATCAACCTGTCCATATCGCTATCGCTCGATTTGTCCGCGTTCTTCTTGCGTTGCTGTTGTGGCGGTGGCCTGATTTCCGAGGTTGGCAACCTTTGCTTGCGAGGTGGGGCACCTCCTCTGGCGGCTACTTGGCATCAACCCATCTTGGGCTCTGCAAGCGAACGGCAGTTGAAGCTACAATCTGCATCCTCATCACGGTTATCAGCAAAATCTGCATCTTGGCCTTTGGGCAATGTGAATAGTTGCGCTCAACAAACGTCGCAGAATTATTCCAAAAACCGAAAATGCATGAAGCAGGACAACGTCAGGTCAGTGTGAACAAAGAAACAGAAACTCTGGATCCAGAGCGCGCAAAAACAGTAGCAACACCTGCCAGCAGCCTATCAAGAGTCATCCGGTGCTCAGTGACCTCCTGGAATCTGCTCTGAGGTGCCTTGTACTCCGGCTGGATGCATCGAGCTGATCCAGCGCAGCAACGTCCAAGTGGCCGGCAAGACGGCTGTGGTGCTGGGGAGGCCCGGAGATTTCGACGAGGAGGGTGGAGACCCTGACCTGTAGGCTTCACTGCTCCTCTTGCTCGTGCCACTGTGGTATTCTGCAAGTGTAAGCCTGGAGCATCCGGGTTTCGTAAGGATTGTGTATTGTGCCTCAGAGATCCTCAGAGCAGGTCCAACATCGTCGGCATGCCGGTGGCACAGATCCTCCAGTCAATGGATGCCACGGTGACGGTGTGCCACTCGCGCACACCAGACATGCAATTTTTCCTCAAGCAAGCTGACATCGTCTCTTGGATGATTTGTGGCTTTTCTTGTTGCCTTGGGATGGGTGCATCGGTGATCAGATACTTCGAAAGTCTTCTTCAAGCTTGTGCGTCCTAGGTAGTCGCTGCAATTGGCAAGCCAGAGTTCGTGCGTCGTGCCCTGAGTCGGCATGATGCAGATTCCAGCTCTTTGGCAGTTCTGCAGACATGTTCGAGCCAGTCAGGTGGCGATTGGCTGAAGCCAGGCTGTGTTGTCATCGACGTCGGCATCAATGCAGTGCCCCGTCTGTCTCCGCTCTGATCCGTGTCTTGCAGCTGTTTTCACACTGGGGTGTCATATCCACGTCTGAACGCACGTGCTGAGATTGACGATGCCACGAAGAAGCTCGGGCATCGTCTGGCCAAGTGCTCGGAGAGGGGAGAACGAAGCATCCTTTGGGTATGTCTTCCTGGATATACACATGCACCCGTATCATCTATGCATGCTCATAGCCTCCATAGATGCATAAACCCTAAACCCCTAAATTGAGAGTTGCTATCCTTCGAGGGCTTCTGGTCTGGGAGGCCTGAGTCGGAAGTCCTGAGTGCCCATTTGCCCTCGAAGGTTGGTGACGTGAACTACAAGGAGGCCCAAGGAGTGCCTTGGAGAAGAAGCAGCAGGTCGAAGCCGCTTTGTTCATGCTAGGAAGGTGCAATGCGACTTGAGGGAACTCCACATGCGTCACGATCTCTCTGTGGTGGCTTCACATCCGAACAGAGGTATTTGAATCACTCATGAGTGTGTCGCCTTGGGATGAGGTCGCATCGCAGATTACTCCCGTGCCGGGTGGTGTAGGTCCAATGACCATTGCCTGACCCTCAGCACCGCAGGTCAGCTCGACAGTTCTGGCCGCATGGACTTGTCGTTGAGCGGTAGTAAGGGAAGGCCGCGGTTCGCTCATTGAAAATGTATCTCGGACATCCTCGGACTTAGAGTTGCGCTGCATTCTGTAGATGTCTGAGGCGATGCTCATGAAGAATACCTTGAACTTGGCCCGTCACAGCGTCCACCTCGCCCGCATTCCGCTGCGACGGGGCGTGACTCCTCCACCGGCAGCACCTTCCTACGCGGCTAAGACGGAGGCGAAGGTGCCTGGATGTTTGGTCGATTGCGATCTCTACATTCGGGGTGAGAATGAATCTCCCCCCTTACTGGCAGCATTCCTCTTCCATCGCTCGATGCAGAGCCGTACTAGAAAGATACCAGAACCTGCCAAGACAATATAGTATATACTGTACACTATATCGTTATATACAAGATTATGTACTATATTATTTCCAATGTTACAAGTTTGGAATATACTCGAGCGTATACTAGAATATGTACTAGATTCCTAGATGATATGTTTGAATAAGTACTGGACCATACATCAGATTGTACATTAGATTATATACTTAGTTATGATTGTATAGGGACGACTGCAGGGATCCATTCCTCCCATTCCCTACTAAGCACCAGACAGAAGAAGCAGCGGTTCCGGTCGAATTAGTATCAGGGCCCGGCGCTGGCGCTCCCGACGGGCGAGGACCTGGCCGTGGTGGTCTCGTGCAAGGCTGGTGGTGATACGACGTGATGCTGATACGCATAAATCAGTGGCAATACTAATACGAACTACAACTACTAATATCATACCAGCAATCATGTTTGTAACAAATAACGACAACAATGACAGTACTAGTAATCATCACAATAATATTACTGATCTGTGGGTTGTAAAGACTGTGCTGCATCACAACGACAAGAACTGCCACCACCCATGATGATGTTGGGCATCGTCATCGTTCCTGTTTGTTTGTTACCGCTCCTTCTGTTCCAATGCTGCTGTGTTGCTGTTGTTGCGGTTGCTGCTGTTGCTGCTGCTGCTCCTGCTGCTGCTGCTTCTGCTGCCACTCCTCCTGCCGCTGCCGTTGCTGCTGCTGATGCTGATGATGACGCTGATGTTTTTGCTCATGCTGCTGATGCTGATGATGATGCTGATGCTGATGCTGACGCCCATGCTGCTGCTGATGATGATGATGACGGTAATGACGATCCTAATGAAGATAATGATGAATATGATGGTATTGGATAGTGATTCGACGGTGATGGTGTTGGCTATATTGGTGATGATGATGATGATGATGGCAGTGCTTGGCTAGTGTTTCTACTATCCTGTTCCGATCGTAGGTGCAAGCCGCGCCTTCGTCTCTCGTATTTTGAGTGCACTTGTCCCGGTGGCTGCGAAGCTGCTGATTTGATGCCTGTGCCTAGCTCGCAGGGCCAGAACATCTGGGAGGCCGCTGTTGCCTCGCAGGCGTTGCGCGCAAAGGTGCAGGCCAGCGGATGCAGAGTTTGGGGATGGCTCTTCAGGGCTTCGGGATTGGCGTCGGCTGCGCTGTTTAAGCTGAGCAGCTACCGCAGCTTCTAGGCGGAGGCTTGGTCCTCGTGGATGCCCCGAGTTGGCCTTGAATGTGCCAGGAGGTGACCAGCTCCAACTTGCCCCCGGCCTTGCTGCTGGAGGCAAGACTCCAACAAAGGGTGGACGAGAAAGCTGTAGGCTGCAGAGGTGTTTCAGGCAGGTTCAGTTCGAGGATTTCCTGCAGGCCTCCTTGCAGATCGCAGGCTGTAGTTGCAAGCCAGCAAGCCGGAAAACTAGCGGCGGGGCCTCCCGAGCACTTTTGGAACAGCATTCTCCCAAAGTCAGGGCGACAAGAACGGAGATGCCGTCTCCTTGGTGTCCCTCACGCAGAACAACAAGGCGAGGTGGTCGTGGTGGCATGTCTCTTTGCAGTGAGGCCAGCAATAGCAAGCTTGCAAGAAGCTGATCGCAGGTGCTTTGCACTGTGAAGGGCATTACCGAGGCTGTTGCCGCCTTGAGCAGCAATGGCCCTGCAGTGTCTGCATCCGCAGCACCCGTACAGGTCTGGGCTTTGGGTTGCGGGGTGCGTCGAGCCTTCCAGAAACGGCCCTGCCAGGCTGTGAAACTCAAGGGTGATGTCGCTCTCGTGGTTGGCTGCCATGGAAACGTTTGGGAGGCCTCGGCCTTAGGACGTTGACAAAGGGAGGACGGTGCAAATTCTGCTGATCAGTGGCCGATGGTCAGTTCACACTGAGGCAGCAGTGTCTGCCGGCAAGCTCCGGCAGAAGATGAAGGACTGGTGACTGGTGGCCTACTTGCTTTCAGCTTCCTTTCTCTTCTCTAACAAAGCAAGACCTATTGCAAATCGCAAGGGTTGCGAGCACGATTCGACAGAGTCGTTTCGGTTCTCAATCTACATTTTCCGGTGCTTCTCTGCAGCAGCTCTTTGCAGGATCTGTCTGGAATGGAAGCTTTGCCCCCAGTTGTGATGGAGTCCGGGCAAGCCGACGGTGTGTCGGTGATTGCTCTCGGCAAGGCCCCCGCACTCCCGGCTCTTTTGTGGGATTTGGGTTTCTACCGAGCGCTAGAATTGTCGACGCAGCGCCTGCATTCTGCTTGCTTTATTCATACGAGTATGGAGGAACTCCCATGCAAGTGCGATCACATGAGAACCATACCCCCTACAGACACCCCGAAGATAGAATGTTTGCAGGACATCAAGCACTCGACCGTGGTCTGCAAGGCTGCGGGTGTCAGTGATGCCTTGACGGCATTGGGCTGAAGTGGTCTCTGCGGTGTGGCCTAAAAGGCCGTCGCGAGGGCAGCAAAGATGTTTCACGCTAGAAGTTACCTCAGCAACTAAACTGATGGTTTTCACCTGCGCAGCGAATTTTTGTTTCATGCGCATGTCCAAACCGACAGTCACAAGGAGCTGTTGGCTCGAAGTTTTCTGCGACAGATTTTCTGTTTGAACCTCGGTTACAAAGGCACCAGCTGCAGCCCCCGGGACTTCGGGGACTCTCTCGGAGAGCGGGTGGGTGTTTGAGCATTCGCTTCGAGGTTTCATGCCGAAGCGTTCCAGCGCACGCGAGATCTGCAGAACGAGAAGGCCAGGAATGATGGAATGATGAAACCCTCCCATCTACTGCAGATCCCAATTATGGTAAATTACATTAGGTTTCTAAGCTTGGCCCTAGAAGCTTGGCCCTAGGCCCGGAACCCTTATTGTTGGCCATTGATTGCCATAGATCTCTATTCTGGTAACTTACATTCAGTTCCTGAACGAGAGACACAGTTTTCCTCAGCTTTTCTGCAGCAACAGCCTTAGGCAAAAGCTGCGCCTCGACCCAACCGCCGGGTCTCGGCCGTGGCCCTACACAGCTGGCAAGGGCATGGTGTCAACAAAGACAATTAAAGCGAAAGTGCAGTGCACATAATATCATGTACTGCAATACAATATAACATTATATACATATCGACACACATATATGTATATATATACACACGCATGTATATGTACATAAGCATATATACATACGCATGTACATACATACATATATCTATATATATAGATGTATGTGTGTTTGCATGCATGATTATGATATGTATATGTGTAAGTATGTGTATGTGCATGTGTATCTGTACATGTGTGTGTATATATATATATGCTGTGGAAATCAACCAATATGGATATAAATACGAGTATAAACTTCAGTATACTTGTAAGTATACGCCCAAGTATAGTTACGAAATATAATAGTGGACATATTTGCCCTGATATAAATACAACTGTTAGTCAACAGTTGCACTTAAAGCGTCTATGTATATATACATATATGCACATATATATGTATATGCCTCTATACAGAGTATATACACTACAGCAAAATAACGTGCCGACAAAGCTGAGGTAACTTTCGAGACGAGGCCGTTTGGGATGACGCCCTTCAAAGAAGAAGGCGTGTGCACAGCTCGCGCATGTCACCCGCGAAGCTGGTATCAGTCTGCCTGAGTCGTTTGTGAGCAACTGTTGTTGTTTGCGATCGTCCTTGTATGATCTTCGCTAGGGGGGCGAACTGCTGGCTATGTTGTGGAGAAGGTGCGTGATGTCTTGCCTTTTCTGGCTGCGAATCTAGCCTGTGCAACTCGGGTAACTCGGGGTAGAGTGGGTTCCCCCTATGCCTACAGTGAGTAGGCCGGTTCCTTGACAATGCTTTTGAGACATCTTCATTGCCAGCTCAGGTGAACCACAACGATCCTTCAAAACCCGCAGCCCGACTCGGGGTGAAATCTGGCTGGATCGCCGGATACCCGGGCGGCTATATCACTGACTTGCAGGGCAGCGGTGTCCAGGCAATCTTTCTTGAACACTGCCCTGGTGCGCACCGACTGGAATCAAGCTGATGCACCTGCAGTCCTACTCTGGCTAGAACTCTCTACCCTAAACCCTAACCCTAAACCCAAAACCCCAAACTAAGCCCTAAACCCTCTTCAGCTGCAGGTAGCTGCCGTTGCGGGTGAGGACGTTGCAGATCGGAGCCTCGACGAAGTGCAGCAGCTGACAAAGCAAGCACCGTCCTCAATGAAGGAACCTTGTAATATACTACATCATATTTTATCAGAGTTAGTGGCATTATAAGGTGCCATGATACTGTAATGGCTGCTACAATAGTTACGATCATACGTACCATTACAGGTACCATGATCCTGTAATGGCTACTACATTAATTACAGTAATCTCAGAGTTACTACCATACCTACGTACCATGATCCTGAAATTACTATAAGGGCTCTTGGTACTCTCATAGAGTCGTAGTTACCATGATCTTGGAATGGTTACCACGGAGGGCTCCTGATTGAGGAACTCCAAGTTCTTTTTTGGGGCTCTGAATCTCGATTCCATTCTTTTGGGAGAGTATGGGGCCCAGGGTCTGCTCAGAATTTAGTATATGAAATCTTCTGGGTTCTTTTCAAGGAACTGAGTTCAAGTTAGCAGAACAAGGAATCCCTTTTGGTGGTAGCTTAAATTAAGTTCCTTCACAAGAGCCCAGAGTATTGCAGTACCGTCTCCAGCTGGCAGAGGTCCCTCTCCCGGTGACGATTGACTTCGAGGCGGTCCTGTTTCCTGATGGTTTAATACACGAACAATCATTTCTTCAGGTTTTCGGGGATTTCGGGGGGTTAACATGATGCTGCAATGGTGAGAAAGGGTTTGCAGAAGACGGTTCGAGGAAGTAGCTTGAATGACGATGTGGATTGCAGCTGGTGCAGGTGCCTGTGGTGAAGGAGAAAGAGCAGAAGGATTGCCGAATATTGCCGAACGAACAACTAGTGAGAGAACATCAGAATATCCTGTCATGCGTACGCCGCATGCACCGGTTACGGTTCTGCAGATTGTATAGGCTATCCTTTTTGCTGCAACATTGTGGGTTGGCAGGGGCCGCTTTAACGAATTTCGTTGCAGACTTGTGTTCATCCAGGTTCTTGGTAGAGGGCTCTTTTTGGTAAATTCTCCTTCAGGAGGGCGGCTCCGCTGCTTCGAGCACGCATGGTGAAAAACGCACGCCACCCAGACTTTCGCCGCATCCAGGATTCCCGAGTCTTGCTAGTTGTCAGTGCAAGCCGTGTTAATGACTCATCAGTATCGCTGTGCTCACGATGCGCATCGTCGGCATCACCGAAAGCACCAGAAGTATCAGCATCGTCGTCATCATCAACACAGTCGCCATTATTCCAACCATCATATACCATCGCCGCCATCATCATCGTCGAAATTGGCGGCACCGTCGCCACGTTCACCGTCGAGATCACCATTGTGATCATATCTGTCACCATCATCATCCTCTTTTCCCCAGTCTCAGCATTGCAATCGTGGCCATTCTCAGCACATGTACCCCCTGCCTCAGTTCCGCAGTTGCTTCGTCACAGTGGCGAAGTCACGGAAATCCGGGGGCCCCCGCGCCACCGAGACCGTGGCGGCCAAGCGCAGAAGCACCAGGCGGCCCAGGCGCGCGCGGCGCCGGCGCCCAGCCGGGAGCTGGGCTCCCAGCAAAAGGGACTGGGACTCTATAAGGGTTTAGGGTTTAGGGTTTAGGGTTTGCTTTGACTTGAAGATTTTGATTGGAAGCAGAGAGGAGGCTTGAAGAGCCCTAGTTGTGGCCAGAGCTCTTCGCACCCAGCCCGCTTGGAAGCAACTGCTGCGTACCACGCGCAGGTCACGGGAGCGGACAGAGACGCAGCGGCTTCAAGCGCTGCTCAGGAAGGGCAGCTGACTTGTTGTCTTCGGACGTGTCTTCGTGCTTCGTCCTCCATGCAGGTCCGGCACAAAGTAACAGAGAGAGAGGCAGCATTGGGTATGACTCGACCAGCTTGCATTAACAGGTAAGTCGGGAGATCACTGCGCCCGCATCGAAGCGGCGCCACCGTCCCTAACTTCCGACTAAGCAAACCTCCACGAGAATAAGCCAGCGACAAAGTGGCTCCGGAAGACGATCACTTCCGTTTCCTGGCAGGAGCTTGGATGCGGAGGACAAGCTTCCGGCCACGGTGGGGACCGAAAGATATTCGTCCTGAGCTTGAAGAACTGAAGACAAACACCGTGCCAGGTCTTCGTTTTCTCGCGAAGACGGGTGGAAGCTTTGGCAACGGCGCCGACCTCAGCGAGCTGTGACCTCACGAGTAGCCAGTTGTTGTTCTGGCTGTCTATTACTATTACTATTACTATAATTATTACTATTACTATAAGTATTACTATTACTCTTTTCCTCGCCTCCAACTGGATCTGCTAGTGTTACAGCTGCTACTGCTACTGCTACTTTAGGAGTAGGAGGAGGGACAGGGGTAAGCCGCTGAAGCTCTGTTCCTAGAAGCTTGAGCCAGACCGGCGGGACCCCAAGGACATGCCAAACTTGGATGTTTGCAATGCCGAAGAGAGATCGAAGGTCTCGAGTGCGGAGCACACGGCTTCGGACAGGGCTGTTGTTCCATACATCAGTGATTCAACTGGGAGACCTTGCAAATCAGCTTTCGCAGTTGCATCCCAGGGTAGCACATCCACACCTCTGCATGTCGTGTTGCTTGTGTTCGTGCGACACCGCTTGTGCAAATCCCGCAGCATTTGGAACGCAGAGGATGCTCGTTCTCGCAGTTAATGCCGGAGCGAGGCGTTAGTTCGTCAAGCCCGATTCCCTTCTCGAGAGATCCTGCACACCTGCTACTGCGCGTTCCTCGGCAATGGGAAGGTTCTGAGATTCAGGAGCCGGTGCTTCAAGGGTAATGGATCGATGATTTTCGGGCTTTGCGGTCTTACGGAGCGTGACCCTTAACCTTAAACAACTCTTAACAATCTTAAACAGCCCTTAACCCGCCCGCCAAGGAACGTCAACGTGCCAAGCTTCCGTGGCCAGAAGGAGCTGTCAGGCTGCTCCACGATACACCTGTCCTCACGATTTTCGGCTGACTGGACCGCTCCCAGATCGGCGCAGCGAGCCCAGGAAGAGATCCTGCGGCTCGACCACACCACATACACCACCCTCATGCGCGCTGTCGACCTTCACGATGACAACGACGAGGTGGCATGGCAGTGCTGCTGTGTGCTGGTCGTGGAGACCTTGCCCATGCAGGTGCCGGAAGTGAAGACAATGCCGCGGCCTCGACCGGCGAAGCCGGTGAGCAGCGTGCACCGGAGGCGACAGTGACAAACGAGGAGGAGCCTTCACCAGCTGAAAGTTGGCCAGACAAGAGTTGGTCTGGGCACTGGGAATGGGAAACCTGGGAGGCTAGGACTGGAAGCAGCAACAGCAGCGGGGAGAACAAGCGGACCAGGCGGACAGAGCCCGAGCCAACTCCACCGCCAGCCTGGCGACAGAAGGCTCAATCTGAATTGAGACGTCCGGCGGTTCCCAAAAATCCTCCGAAAGCGAAATCCAAGTACTTGCCGCCACCACAGCAATGCCAAACTACGAAAGGAGGCAGGGCTTTCTTCAGCAATCCCCTTGCGGCCTCACCTGTCGATAGAGGCATGTTATGTGTAATGAGGCTGCAAGAGGTGTGAATCCCTCGTTTCCAGAAGGCGCTCTTGGGCCTGCGCCTCCTGCCCGCTTCGGTGAAGAGGAGGCTCTCCTCGATCGCCTCGGAGCTCCTGGCAACTGCAGACCGCCTCGACGCTTGAGGCACCGATTGGCCAAGACATGAGATCAAAGGGGAAAATAATGGGTATATAATAGCTGTTTTAAGGGTTTATACCTAGGGGTCCTTATTAAGGGTCCCTCCTTTTACCCTTGGATGAGAGGGAGGGAGAGTACACTTTACGATCGATTTGGTGTTACCTGGCGTTCTGTCGCTGCACTCGTTCGTCACGGTCACGGTATCGATTTTGTGTGGAGCGTGCATAGTAATGTTGGCTGGTGTTGACTGCATATTAAACAAGTGCTGTTACAATATATACACCTGTCGATCTGTCTATCAAGCTGCTTGTCTACGTATCTATCAAATCCATCCATCCATCTGTTTGTTTGTCTGTCTGCCTGCATATCTACCTATCATTGTGCATGCTGTTCGTTGATATTCGTATTTGTTTGTTCTGTTTCTCGTTTTGTCTACAGATGCGTGTATACATATGTATATATATATATATACATATAAATAAATATAAATATATATATATATATATATATATATATATATACACACATATATATATATATGTATCCACAGGTATGTATGCATATACTCCGCATGCATAGTCACGCATGTACATGTGTAAGTATGTGTGCAAGTATGTATGTCTGTGTACGTTTTGCACACATATATGTTTACATGCACATTGACACATGTTGGTACCGTTAATGTAGCAGGTTGCACAGTAAACCTACAAGCTATCATATACACACACACACACACAACAGTGTATCACTTCTTAATCCCTCCTTTCTCTCTAGTTGTAGTTCTCTCAGATCCGCAACGCCCTCAACCCCTCCCCCGCGCCCCCCGACAACCGAACCGAATCAAGCCGACCCCTGTCACCCCGAGTTGTGCCTGAACTCCGAAGTCCTGAACGCTGACTTCGGCCGAAAAAGCCTCAAAGCCCTGAGATGTCCCATGGCAATGATGGGAGGAAGTCACGGTCGAGCAGAGTGTCCAAGTCTGCAGCCAAGACGTCGCCGGTGTGGGATGGACGCACGTTCAGACGGTTTGGGGTTCAGGGCTTGGGGTTTAGATTGGTCATCTTCGGCTCATTGATCGGCAAAATAGGAACGGGCATGATCTCGGCATCCAACTTTGAGGCAAGACCTAACGTCATCTGATTCAGCTCAGATCTAAGGTCCATGACTTCGAAGTGGTCATCAGGACCATCTGTGTCAGTGAAAACTTCATGGAAGGGGCTCGGGGTGAAGCAGCTTCTAGAGGTATACTTTAGCATCGAATATAGTTTGATATGACAGAATAGAGTATAGTGCTTAGTATAATTTGATTTAATAGAATAAAGTATAGTATAGTTATAAGTTATAACATCATATAGCATAGCAAAATGCAGTTTAGTATCTTGGGCCTTCGGCCTTTGCCCCTTTGCCGTCGGCCTCAGCGCTCTCTGCCGCTTGAGGGCTCAAAGCTTCGCTCCACGGCCGGAGCCATGGGAGGTGGCCGCCGTGGTCGTGAGGACAGCCGAGGAGCATCCGAGGAATACGAGCTGCCCGGAGTAATAAGAAAAGTTTGAATAGTAGTCATATTAACAATACTACCTGTAATAGTGAGACAGTAATAATGGTAATAATAGCAGTAATTAATATTAACACTTATAGTAACAGCAACATGAGCGGTAACAATGACACTAGCAGTAACCGCAACACTAGCAATAACAAAATTGCTAAGGACAGTGCAATGGTAATGATAATAGTTCCAATGGCAACATTCTTGCCGCCCACCGGTACGACATCAGAGCATACTCTTGTTTGTTGTTGCCTTTTCGAGGTTACTAAAAAGATCACAACATGTTTAGTTGTAGTAGACTACGCAATACTACGTTTGATTGCATTATGTTATAGATATCTTATATGAAAATAATGTACATACTGATTAGGTACTACAGCGACTACTCGGATAGCCGCAGCCGGAGCCGCGATCGCCGTCGAGACCGAGACCGACGCCGGGACCGTGGACGGGGTCGCGACAGGCCGGAGTCTTACTGTTCGAGTAATGCATAGTAATGCTAACAGTAACTACTACGGATGACCCTAAATCCTAAAGCCTAAACCCTGAAGGAAAAGAGGGCACAAAAAAAGAACCTAAACCCTGTATGACCTTACTGACCTAGACTATGGGAATTTTGGTATGTTCCTTATTCTGGGTAACAGGCCAGAGCTTTACCATCAGTAAAGCTAATATTACTAGTCATCGCATAGAAGCATAGAAGAATCAACATTAGTATGTCAGTCGTCGTAGTGGTAGTAGTAGTAGTAGTAGTAGTAGTAGTAGTAGGAGTAGGAGTAGGAGTAGGAGTAGGAGTAGGAGTAGTAGTTGTAGTTGTAGTTGTAGTTGTAGTTGTAGTTGTAGTTGTAGTTGTAGTAGTAGTAGTAGTAGTAGTAGTAGTAGTAGTAGTAGTAGTAGTAGTAGTAGTAGTAGTAGTAGTAGTAGTAGTAGTGCAACAGCAACACTACAGCTTTTATGCTTTTGCAGAGTAATACCACTACAGCAAGACCAATACTTCTACTAACAGCGAGTAATTTTCCTGATAAACAGTACTACTAGTATAGTAGTGCCAATACGATTACTTTTTTGAGCATTACGACTTTAATCGTACGTACCAATGCATTAGCATTGGTATTCGTATCTGTATTGGTATTGATATTCTTACCGGCATTGGGCATGAGCACTATTAGCACGGGATCCATGGTGCAACCGACGACATGCTCGGAGTTTGTGCAATGCAGGCGACGGGACCGGAGTCGTGGGCGCCGCGGCGGCGGCCGCGGCGGCGGTGGGGGCGACTGGAAAGACGACCTGGAGGAGTTCATTCGGAAGACCCTCGGCGAGAAGAATTCAGGTTCTGGCGCCTCCGAGCTCAGGGAGCAAGGCAGAGGCAGCCAGGTAGTTTTGTGTTTTGCTCTTCGGTGTGAAGCAAGTCCTGCTGGTCTCTGTCAAGGAATGGGTTGGATCACCGAACGCAGGATGCTCTCTACGGTCTTGACAAGACCGTTGCCATGACTGTTATGGGCATGGACGGCGGAAGGAACACGACACTTCGCCAAACACAAGTATTCTTTTGAGTTTGCTAGGGTCTGTCAGATCTTTCCGTGAAAAAGTGTCCCTCTTCAAGCCCTTGTCTGCACAAAGTCTGCTTCGATATTGTTTGCTGCAACATGACCACGAGCAGTACGCTCTGCTGCAAGAAACGGAACTAAGAGGGCCTTCCTTGCTTTGAAACGTCAGGTTCCTGCTGGAAGGTGTACGAAATCCCGATGCTGTCGTGATGTCCCGCATTCGAAACGCAACAGGCGGTGCCCGACGATGAGGCCAAAAGCTGCCAGAAAAGCTCGGCGACCTTGGTGCAGGTGACAATGAAGACAGTATCATCGAGATGCCATCAGAGCTAAGCGGTCGGAACATGTACCAGTGTAGTGTAGCAGGACATGCGTGCCCCACATAGAGATCACCCGGATTTCGAAGTCGGTGCCTGCCCGAGATCGCATGCTTGAAGCTCCGTTTTCCTGCAAGTGGCCTTCAGAATCCATCCAAGCCACGAGAAGGCAGGCAGAAAGCGGAGAGGGTAGTGCCGGGTAGTTAATTACAGCGTGCAAGCAGTGGTCTGAGCTGGCTGCTGCCAAAAGGCAGGTGTCCTGGCACCACTGTGTCACGTCGCGCTTTGATCCTCGAGAACCTGTCCAGGGTAGTTATGAAGCCGGCCCGATGGCTGGTCGAAGATGATAAGGATGTAGCTGCCTGTCGGTTTTGACAATCTCGAAAAACTTGCAAGTGATACAGCGAGGGCATCTAAACATCCACTGGTGTAAGAAATTGCAGGCAGGGAGACCAGACATGAACGAGACATCGTGCAGCGAGGCTGCAGCCACTGACAAAAAAGGAAGGCCTGAACAGACTTCCCGACTTAGGGACTCGCCAGTGACCTTTAACTACCGGTACGACTGCCACTACAAGTAACACTGCTAGCCGACCACCACTGCAGCTCACTGCCGACGACACACTACACTAAGCCACCGCCAGCTTGAATAAAACTAGCAGCAATCACGGTAGTCTGAGTAGCAGCAGCACAGCAGATATCTAGTAGTTCTAGCAGTAGTGGTAGTAGTAGCACTGCTAGCAGCAACAAAAGCGAAACACCACCAACATGTCAGCCGCACTTCGGAAAAGACGACTTAAACTGCTTTAGCCACAACAAGAAGATTAATGTAATGACTAGCAGGAATGGCAACACTAAGGACGGTGAGCAATATGATGGTGCTGACGGGGTGACACGGGGCAGAGCAATGAACACAAGCACTAACACATTCCCAGCGAGTGTGGCTATGTCTTGAGACGATGCCTTGAGAAGTTGGCCAAGACACCCGAGCCCTGGTGATGATCTTTTGGATCTTGCACGCTCAAGGGTTGGGGCCCGACCTGCTACCCAATGGTGAACGGTGTTTTCGGTCACTTTCCTCGTAAAAGTCGCGTGTGGATCCCTCACCAAATTCATGGAGTTGGCTCCTCAACCGGCACTGTGTAACATAGGGGTAGAGTAGGGTTGTGGCGCCCATATACTATAGCAATAATAAGGAACCCCCAAAATAGTATTGGTAATTATTTCGGCCCCTAAAGTACCTGTGCAGGAGCATTCTCGACAAGAGCAGCGGTGCCATCTTGTGAAAGGTGGCCGTCGCTTCCCGAGCTTGAAACCGTCGAAATCTCGAGAGACCATGTACCTGCCTCTCTCGCCCTCTCTCTGTAAACGAATATGTATGTATGCATGTTTGTTTGTGTATGTGTTTTTGTATTCATGTATCTCTGTCGCGTCTCTCTCCTTGGGGTTTATGTAGACCCTAAGCTGTAAACCCTGTACATACCCTCCCAAACCAGGGTTTAGGGTCATCCGACAGTCTCCCGGTCGGAAGCATTCGGGGTCCCCCTGCGGCTTCATACCGAATTTCTGTGTATGAGTGCCGATATAGCCAAGAATCTAAGAAGGCAATAGTACAAGTCTAGTGGCCCATACAGTCGCCTTACTAGTACCGTCACAGTACTCTTGTTATAGCAGCCCTTGCAGCAGCCCTTCTAGCAGCCTGTATGCGACCCTCATAGTACCCTTATAGTAATCTTTACAGACTTTAAGCTGAAGCAGTCGCAACAGGTGGAGTTCTCCACAGTGGCCCTTCGCCTGCCTCTGTCAGCTCTCAGCGCCGGTTCGGTCGGGTGGCCAAGTCTCCAGCAGCTTTAGGGTTTCGGGTTGAGGCCCTCAGGGTCCTGCGTGAAAGTGTCACGGTGCAATCCCGTCCAAATCCTAAACGCGACGGCCAAGAATCGACATGTTACGCTCTTAGGAACCACGTCTCATCCTCACCTTTCTCCGCAGGCTCAGGCCATCTGGCTGCTGGCAGACGGACATATCATGTCAGAAGGCTTTGCTAAATTGCAGGCACTGGTATATGTTCAGCAGCCATCTTGCGGAATCTACGCTTGGTAGGTGGACGTTGTCGTCTTTTTGCGGAGTAGATCGGCTGCCTTCCAAACAGATCCTCAGCTCCGGCTGTGGCAGAACACCTGCCATCATGCTGGCCAATCAGAAGCTCCTCGTTGAGACCATGCAGGCGTGCCATCACAACAGCGACAGCATCTTGGCCCTCGTGAGCAAGGTCTGTGCCAAGATGAGCCTTGCCGACGTGGCCTCGGAGTGCGAGCAGGTCGCGAGACGAGAAACTTTGGTGGCTTCACTTTCTGTGTTTTGCTTGTATGCCTGAATCGAGCCTAAGAGGCCCTTGGTGCGAAGGCTTTGAAACCATACTGTAGCCGCTGTAGCCGACTGCTGACTGCTAGACTTCAAGAGTTCCTCAGGTTCGCGAGGTGCTCAAGGACACAAACTCGATGTTTGCAACCCTGCACGATGCCTCCACCGCGGACTTGTCGCAAGTCTTGGCTGATGTGAAGAAGTACGCGTCGGAAGTGGTGGTTCAGGAGCCGAGAGTTGTGCTGGTTTTGTCTTTTCAGAAATCTTGTAGTGGTCAGGGAGTGTTCTGGAAGCTTGGCTGGGGCCACAGCGGCTGTGGAACCAGAGAGGGGGGGGACGGTAGCCCGAGTTGCGCCTGTGGTGTGTGCCGTGAGATGCAGTCATCCCTCAGGAGTCGCGGGACATGCAGTCGACGGTCACCCAAAAGTCGGATGCGTTGGTTCAGGACGTCAACGAGCGCTTCAAGAAGCTGGAGGCTCGCGTCCTCTCAGAGCTTGGCGGCGAGGAGACTGTCTGGTTCCTAGTGTCACGGGTTATGGGACTTTTGTTGGGGATTATATAGGGACTACTCTAGGGAGCCATTCCGTTCCCCCATTCCCTACTAAGCACCAGACAGGAGAAGGGAAGCCAGGCCAGCAAGAGCGACAGCCAGCTCCTGAAGAAGATGACCAACCGCATGAGCGACTTCGAGGCACAGGTGTCAACGCAGATCCAGCAGCTCACACAGGACTGTGGGAACCGCGTAGTAGACCAGGTTACACGGATCAGGCTCGCATGCCATCGCAAGATATTGCAAGCTCTGTGCGAATTGCCTGAGGACGTGGAGAAGAAGGTGTCTTTCCTGGGCTCTCAGAGGGCCGGCACGGGTGCAGATGCCTCGAGCCCCCCAGGCTTGGAAAGCCTCTCACATGACCTGGATGCGGTAAAGTATGACATGGGCGAGCTGAAGGATATGCTGAACGCCTCCAAGACCGACACTTCCCAGGTGAAGCGCATCGTTCTCGCCTGTGAAAGGGACATGGAAGACTTCACTGCTGCGATGGATGCCGTGAATGTCGACCTGGATGAGATGAGAGCCCGTGTTGACTCAACGCACTCCATCATCACCTCGCGCCAGCGCGTGGAAGCCACGGTCACTGCGGAGATCTCCACTATGCGCCTGGACATGGGCGACATGCAAGAGGCTTTGAAAGCGCACGATGCCTGGATGGAGGATGTGTCGCAGAGTCTGCAGGAGGTGCATGAGCGCTGCCAGCAGCTGTCCGAAGATATTGGCGAGCATGCTCAGAGCACCCAAGCAAAGCTCGATGCCAAGACTGACATCACGGCCTGGAACGATATGAACGACGACATCGATGCCTCCATCAAGACTGTCCGCGACATGGCTTCCGCTCTACGCTTGGAAGTGGACAGCCGCAGGCGCAAGGTGGACGAAGACCTCGGAAGTTTGCGCGAGAATCTGAAGAGCTTGGCCGAGAAGGTTGACACGAATGCCGCCAACATCCAACGCTCCGCGTCCTCACCAGAACTGTAAGCCTCACTTCTCGAGGGGCCTCCCTTCCCCGCTGCTGACACTTGCTGCTCCGCTAGGCCGGTAGGCTTGCCCCTCCTGGTATCGCTCTTAAGGTTACGTGGATGACTCGAACTCCGTGGTGTCCCAACGTCTTGATGAACGCCACCAGCATTGCAAGGACTTGGAGACGACCCTGGGCCCGGACCCGAGCAATTGAGCGAGAAATCCAGGCAGATATGCGCAGAGTCTCCTCACCAGGCCGCCACGGCGACACTCACCAACAGATCCATGCGAAGATCGATTCGCATCGGGAGGAGATCGACAACAGGCCAGCTCGCAGCATGAAGTAGCACTCCATGCGCTGACCCCTTCAGCTCTTGTCACCGTCTGATCTGAGGACGGCACAGCTGGAAGCTCATTTACAAAAGCAGGACGAAGACCTCCACAAAGAGGTCAATGACCGTATCGACGGCTGCTCGACTAAAAGAGGTTGTGTAGTTACATTCGACATGGAGGGCTACAGGTGTTCGGTTTCGAAGCTCCAGCGGGGTCTGTTGCTCTGAGGTGTCGAGCGCCACCACTCCAACATCTCCAAGGCAGTGGGTCCGGCTTTCGAAAACCAGCTCCTGCTGCCATGGGTCGTGCTGCGACATATCTGCGGCAGGAAACCTCGAAGCGCCTGAATGCCTTGGACCTCCGCATTGCAGGACTTCAGGGTCTGTGGCTCAGGTTGCAGCGATTTCCGGCCTGCGGGGTGGCCGATGCCCCGCTCGTCTCTCTTTGCAACCCCTCCAGGTGCCAGTGGTGAGTCCAAGCGCGATATCGGGAAGCTGCGTGATGAGGCCGCGAGATCCGGAGGTCTTTTTACTTTTCGTGGTCTCGGGCCGCGCGAAAGGCTTGTTACATGAGCTGGTTCTGCATGTCTCACACTCCGTTCCATCCTGTCCTTTCCCGTAGGAAATGTATGGGAGGTGTCCGAAAGCCTGCTGTACTGCAGAAGAGTGCCGGACAGGTGAACAATTTGACCGTGAAAAGTGCCGCGCATGACGTGGACATCGGCAAGAACAGTGACGACTTGCGGAAGCTGGAGCGCCAACGCATCGAGGCCAGGCTTGCCTCTTCCTGTGGCCCCAATCGTGAGCTCGACTTGCACTCTTCTTTGTTACTCCCACTCACTCACTCTGTCTCTGTCTCTGTCTCTGTCTCTGTCTCTGTCTCTGTCTCTGTCTCTCTCTCTCTCTCTCTCTCTCTCTCTCTCCCCCCACGTTCCCTCGCTGCCTCGCTCTATCCCTCCCTGTCCCGAGTTTGGGCGTTCCCATCTCGTGGCATCCAGGACAACCAGCGTCACAAGCAGGATGTGGATGGCATCTATGAGGCACTGGATTGTACATGACGGACATCGAATCTGTCTCCCTTTGAGGTAGTAGTTACTTAGTAGTTTTTATGTGCACGTATACATGCAGTATAATGCCGTACATGCATACCCGTACATACATCCATCAGCTATCCACCCGTTCATCCGTGGGTACATACAGTACGTACATACACATGCACATACCTGCGCGCCTGTTTGCCTGCATTCTTGCCTGCCCAGATATACATACCTACGTACGTATGTACGTGCGTACGTAGGTACATAACATACATACCACGTACATACATACATACATACATGTATACACACATACATGCATCAAGCATACATATATGCATCACGCATGCATACATGTATACATCTACATATGCATATGTATATATGTGTATATATACACATACACATATACATATACATTTAGGTATACATGGACATTGACACAGACACAGACATCGACATCGACATAGATAGAAACTGAGACGGACAGAGAGTCCGCGGTACCCTTGGCACTTGGCAGGAGCTTGATCAGAAGGTCTATGAGAAGAATTTCCAAAGCTTGGAGGATGCAGGGTGGTGACTAAGACATGCTTATCGAGAGTGGCGAATCCTAAACACAGCCGGAGTTTTGCAGAATTCCCACGTTCCCAAAATCCCGTCACATATCGAGCCGTTGCCTCCTGGGGATGTCAGAAAGATGTCGTGCCGTGCACGTGCCCCTCTCTTCGGAAGCTGCTTCAGCTGTGCGAGGAGAACGTCACGAAGCTCACCCGTGGCACAGTCAAACTATGCCAGGCTCTGCCCTTTGCCTCCTTGAAGTTTGAAAGGGCACTCGTGGACTCGTAGTATGAAAAATCGTGTTTCGCCATCTGCCAGGTGGTGGGGGTATTCCCAGGAGCACGGATGAACGATGGCACGGAGGCAACTTTTCAAGTTCTCGGGCTCGGGATGGATCATGGCCAGGCTTTGTTCACCCGTGCTGCAAGGAAGAGCTCGATGTTGATGTGGAGCTGCTGAATTGGGAGGACTGCGCACAGAATCTGGTGAGTCGGGCCTCTTGTCTTTGCGAGCTGGAAGCCGGGTCGCCCAAATCTTCAGAGACCTCGGATAGCGCACGCAAGGTTGACAAGACGTGGCGGCAGATCTCCTCGCAGAAGTATCGCAGCATTCTGGATCTCCTTGGAAAGAAGGCTCCAAGAAGCTTGAGCGCTGGGAGACCGAGGGGAAGTAAGAAGAGGGGTAATGTGAAGAAGCAGCTCAGAGCTCAGCAGCTCAGCAGGCTGACCATTCCGTGCTACGCCTTCTGCAGATCTCGCAGCAGCACATTGAAAGCCAGCTGGATCCATGCCTGCACAAGGGGGGTTTTAGCATGTCACGGTGTCCAACGAAGCCGTAGAAACGCCACCATCTCTGGGATGACTGCATCTCGCCGAGGATCGTGTTCGCCATGAGCGCGAGCTTTGGAAGGACGCTTTGACACAGAAGTCTGGTCCTAGAACCGCTACGTAAAAGTGAGCTGCCCTACAGCGACTGCTCCGGACCGCACCAGGGCGCAGCGCGATGGATACTGAAAAGCTGGTTTCTGTTTCCAGGAGGTGGTGGACAAGCGGGCGCAGCAGCCGCTGCAGCTGGCTCTGACGTTGAAGGACTCCTGCGACGGCTCAGAGGGGCTTGCTAGCTCCAACATGAGTATCGTGATTACAAAATTCTATATGTTGCACTATAGTACATGTACTATAGGTTTTAATTTTCAGAATACAGTAGAATACATTGCAATAGACTCTAGAATTTATTAGAGTAAAACGAAGTAATGTTACAGTTATAATAGGTTATCGCATACTATAGTACACCGTAGCATACTACAATATACATTCCGCTCTTCTTCTTTTGTTGTCGGGAAGATCACCCCCTAAACCCTAAACCCCTAAACCTGAAACCCTTAAACCGTAAATCCTCAACCCCAAACCCCCAATCCCTAAGCCCCTAAACCCCGAAACCTTAAATCCCCAAACCCCAAACCCCTAAATCCTAAACCCCAAACCCCCAATTCCTAAACCCTAAGCAAAACCCTCGCAGGAACCCTTAAAGGAGCCCTTATAAAGGAGCCCTCTCGTTAAAAGCCCTTAAACTTTCCGAAAGATCACCGATGTTTGCAGGATCCGCACACAGGGCAGCCGTTGCCGGGTCCGCCAGGCCGCGGGCTTGGCGGGGGGTTGCAGAGGTTTTGGGTTTAGGGCTTTAGAGCCGTGTGTATATATATATATATATTTATTTACATAATTAAAAACTGTATATATATATATATACATTTTATTACTATTGCTTATTTATTATTTATTATTATTATTATACATATATATAGAAATATATACTTAACCCCGCATGAGCTCTTGTAACGGCAAGGTGGAAAGCTGTGACACAGCTTGTTGTGGGTTCACCCGATTTGGGCAGGCAGCACACACAGTCTTAGTGCCTGCCGTTGAGCAGCTAAGCCGCTTCTGCACGAAGACTTTCGGAGCATTGCTGTTTATGTTCTGACCTGAATCTCGATACAGCGTAGTGGCGTAGTGGCTGTCACCAGATTCGTAGGTACGACTTCGAAGTCCATCAAAGCTCAGTATGCCTCGGAGTTGTTCAATAGCTGAGAGTAGCAGCATTTAGCAGCAGAAGGAGAATGTAGCCCTGGCACCAGCACATTGTCTTCACCACATTCATCATAAGCAAATTGCAGGCATAAGCACCAGTGTCAGCGCCTGCATCAACATCATCATGATAGCATCAGCACCAGCATCAGTCTGACCATTACTGTTATCAACATCAGCACTATAGTCGGCATCAGCGGCTGCATCGGCAGCACCAGAAGCCGGGACCACCACCATCATCATCATCATCACCAGCAGCATCATCATCACCACCACTACCACCACCACCATTACCGTCATCGTCTGCTTGTCGACATTACCATCAGCAGCATCAGCTGCATCGTTTGCGTCCGAACCGCGAAGGCTATGGCCTGCCTGGCCTTGACGGCAACCCCATGGCTGGGTGGCCTCGCTGCAAAAGAGTGCCGCAGGATTTGGCAGTCGGCAGTGTTGCGCAGTGAAACCGGAGCTCTGACTCGTCAGACTCTAGAAGCCCACCCCCCAAAAAAATCCGTGAAGCATGACATCTTTGAGGAAGCCTCTCAAAGAACCACAAAAGTGGGAGCATTCAAAGCATCAAAACCTCTAATCCCCGAACCCCAGAGTTTCCGAAGGGACCTGGCCGAAACAAGCCGAGGCCTCTCTCGGGCCGCGGGCTCCCTGGCGGAATGACGTCGGACCCGATGCAGCTAGGACCTTCAGGCCCGAGTTGCTGAAGGTTTAGGTTTAGGGGGTTGAAGTGTGGGGTTTCAGCTTGAGGGTTTAGGGTTTTCAGGTTTGGAAGAAAGCAATCCACCCCCCCCATGAACCCCAAACCCCTAAGCCCCAAACCCTAAACCCCTAGTTAAAAGATCATGGGACTTAGCAACTAGGGTTATAATTAGGGCAACTATACTTATAACTACATATAACCCCAATTAAGGTACTTATAACCTTACTTGCTAAGTCCCTTGATCCTCCAAGTAGACCCTAACTAAACCCTTATAGATCCCTTTTAAAGGAACCCTTATAGATCCCTTTTAAGGGAACCCTAAACCCTCACCTTGACCAAACCCTAAACCTCTATAGATCCCTTTACGGAGCCCTTTACTTACTAAGTCCCATGATCCTCAGCCCTAAACCTGACCAGGCCAGGGCATGGGCCCGGATCAGCCCAAAGCCTCGCCCCTGGCCAAGCGCATCGCACGGCCACAGCCAGGGCCACCAGCGCCCAAGGTGCGGGATTCTGAGGGTTTAGGGTTTAGGGGTTAGGGGTTAGGGTTAGGGTACTACGGGGGGTTTGGGGTTTACATAGGGGTTCTATGGGTTTAGGGTTCAGGGCTTACGGGCGGGATTCTGGGTCCAAATGAGCAGGGTAGAGATAACTTTGGATCCATGGGGTTCTAGGGTTTCAGCGCCCTGGGGTTCCAGGTTTTTCTAGGTCGAGGGTTCTGGCTGGCTTCTGGGTAATTGCGTGCTGGTTTCAGATAATAGCAGAGAGCTTGTTGAAATTCCTGCGAATGCTTTGGTCTTGGATGTTTCGAGTGTGTTCCATTCATTGCGGTCAAGGGCCACGGGCTTAGGACCTGTGGCTGAAATCACTATTTGATTTAATAATGCTGTTAGTACTATGATCCTGACTATGATTGTTAATTGTTGTTAGTAACAACACAATGATTATCGTTCTGTGTAATATGTTATTGATGGCATCTTTCGTGGCAGGCCTCTACTTGATCTTCCAGCAGCAGGCATGAGTACTCGTGCATTTGAGCACACGCCGCTACATTTCTGAGACGCAGATGCTCCTCAGCGCCTTACGATCACCAGAGGGACATGAGGATATCAGCCCTGTACTTGCATGCCTTGGAAGACTGTTGTGTCACTTGCGCACCGTGCTTGTGAAGAAGCAAGCGTGGAGAACTGTTGCTTACCTCATGTGAGCCCGTGCAATCCGACTCTTGCATTGCCACGGGTGGGTTCTACGATTTAGTGTTCTCCGGATGTGGTAGGGAGTGTGCGAGAGTACGAGCTCACGACTTTGCTTCGCTAAATTAGACATGTTAGTAAAGCTTTGTGCACCGACGGCCTCTGACAGCTGAAACCCTGCTGACAGACCGTTGCTGATGTTCGCCGGGAAAAATCTGCGTGCCATGCAGGCAAGCTTGGTGATACACAGGCCCTGAGCGCATGATTGTTTATCAGAATCATCCTCCTTCCTAACTGAGGCATCCTTCCTGGCACCTGGCACAGCTCAACAGACCCTTAGTCAGCGCTGCACAGCTACTGAGAACTTAAGGCCGGCTGCCGGAGCGACAGCAGGGGGTTTCCGTTCGCAGGCCTTTTCAGCAGCTAGGAATGTGGCAGTAAAGCTTGACAGAGCCCATGTGGTTGTAGTCTTGCAGTTCCCTCGGTAGCACGTGGCAGCAGGGTTGTTTCTGTTTTCACGACTGCAGGGTCCGCCAGGAACCATTATGAAGGAGTCTTCCTTCCTTTGGAGGTTTGCACGTCGCATCATGCAGAGTGTAACGCGTCGTTGCTGCATGGTTGACGTGGGAGGTGAATTCTCGCCGGCTGCCGGCCGAAGACGTTGGTGCCGGTGGCATCAGAAGAACCGTCATGTCCAGCACTGACGAGAGGATTGCCAAGATGCCTCGATCCAAGCACCCGCTCTGACCTGCGCGAAACTAGATGAGAGACAATGCTCGGACAAGGCACCATGCCTGTGTTGACAGAATGAGGATTTCGCCCGGGATCTGAGCAGACAGAAAAAAGGGTTCAATCAGTTTAAACTCAGAGCTTAAACTGCAAGCTTGTTGCGAGTGCGTGCTTCGGGAACAGGCGCTCATACGCCATAAAGCATAAAACCCTAAACCCCATACGAGTTCCCATAAAACCTGAACCCTAAACCCCAAAAACACTTCGTCTCGGAGGTGCACATCTTCCTGAACCCTAAACCTCAAACCCTAAACCTCAAAATCTAATCTACCATAAACCCTAAACCCTAAACCCTGAACGCCCAGTTTCGGAGGTGCACATCTTCCTGAAACAAGCCTTCGAGCGCCTCACGGAGGTCTCGCTTCTCAGCTCACGCCCTTCGAAGCCCCAAGCTGCAAAGGTCACAGGGATCCTTAGGGGTGTAGGGGGGAGGGGTGTAGGGGGCTATATTTCATTAGTCCTTATTATGGGCCTTAAGGCCCCCTACCCCCCCTCCCCCTACACCCCTAAGGATCCCTATGAAAGGGGGGGCTATGGGGGTTTAAAAAGGTTTTCTATAGGGTTTCGATAAGGGCAGTTTCTCTGAAAGGGGGACTATTGGGGCTAGATCTATAAGGGGGCGATAAGGGTACTATAATATAGGGGCCTTTATAAGTACACTAGGGTTTTTGGGCCCCTGATGCCACATTATATTGGGCTCCTTAAAGGGCTCTATAGGTTTCGGGGACCTCAAAAGGCACCCGGATTTGGGGAACTAGTCGCTAACAGGGTTGGGCAAGGGGTTTATAAAAGATAGTAAGGTTTAAAGTGTGGTTTTGAGAAGGCCCTAAACCCTAAACCTAGAAGCCTCAATGGCACCGCGATGAAATGCCTCCATTGGCAGGCAGACCGAGAACTTCCCCAGGTGAGGAGGGCACGCTTCTCGGTCTTGGCATCTAGTAGTAGTAGTAGCAGTAGTAGCAGTAGGAAGTATCAGTAGTAGTAATAGTCGCATAGTAATGCATAGTAATCGTAGAAATAGTCGTGGTGGCGGTGGTCGTTGTTCTCACGGTAGAAGTAGGCGTTGTCGTAGTAGTGGTCGTGTTGGTCCGGATGTTGCGTGATCGTCGTCGTGGCCACCGTTGTCCTCGGAATGGTACGTCCACACGTTGTGATGAAGCGGATCCCTCAGATGCAGATGCAGTATTTCGTATTCAAGCTTGGCCCCGAATCCTGCGCTTGCCCGAGGTCGCAGAGTTGGCTGGCCGAGGTGTTGGGATCCACCACGGTGGGCGGCATGGCGGCACAGAGGGACCTTGAGGTTCCAAACCCGCTGCTCTGCAGATGACCTTCTTGCTTTTACTGTCGCAACGGTTGCCGATAGTTAGGAAAGGACATCAGGCCGGAGGTATCCTCGTAATGATGATCGCCGAAATCGTTCGTGCAATTCATTTTCCTGCAGCTCGAGTTGGAGGTGCATC